AACTCAGTGGGGGTGAAAGATACCCTCTCATAACTGCTAAGTGTTTCGAATTCTTGTCTAGAGTATACGGAAGAATAAGGAACTTTTATTCTTCCGCAACTATATCCATAGGACAAGATCCATGGGCACTAAGTCAGGCGGCGTCGACGGCCAACGGCTGGGATTTTGGTTAGCTATTCAATACTTCTTGAAATTGGCTGCAAAAATTTGCTGATAACTTCAGCGTTCAGAGGCGGTGCGTCGTCTTGCTGGAAAAATATGTTTTCGAGTTCCATTAAGGGCATATCATCAATAAGGGATCCAAAGCCTACTAGTTAAAAGTGGCGAACTTTTAAAAATTCTGTATTTCGAGGGGGATTATAACAAAATATCAAGTGTGCTATATTTTTGGAAAGGTAATTTTAAATTCTTTTCAGTTAATTAAAAATATAGAGGGTGTCCCAAATAAAAAATCAATTTTTCTCTTGATAACTAAAAAAAATTATACTTAAATCATTAAATTCTACGTAAAAAGGTGCTTTGGAAATGTTTTCATAGAAATACAAAATTTTCCATAGCAAAAAAGTTCAAACAAAAAAGTTACAGCGATTTGTTAAAAATGCACATTTTTGAAAAACACCCCGTAACTCCGAAACGGTAACAGATATTGATGAGCGCCGAATTTGACCCACCCTGTACAGGTGGTGAAAATAATAATATTGCAAGCCCATGCATTTGTTTACAAAAAGAAAACTATTTAACTCTATGTAAAAGAATAAACCAAATAATTATTAATATACCACCATTATTTCCGCCCAAAAATTAGTTAAATTACATACTTAATTGTTTTAATTAATTAATTATTCTAAATAAATGTGGAGTTGACTCAGAAATCAATAAAAAATGTCTATACCTCAGAAATCAATACAATAATAAGTTATGAAAATGAACGTCTCTGTTGTTATAAATAAGCATTCGTCAAAAAATAAAACTAAATTTACAAGGTGTTACTTTTTATCACACTGTCTAATACACAAACAAAATTCAGTTTTTTAGTATTTGGAGCAAATATTAATTGGACATATTTAACAAAAAATATTTAAACAGTTTTTTATCTAATGAAACAAGCGAACTATTATCGACAATATTAGTATTTGTACTCTATGAAAATTTGTTACTTCTTTAAAAATAATCTAAAATGTCAAATGGTGTATTCCATGGGTATAGTGATAAATGAGGTCTAAATTATAAGAAAATTCATTTTCTACGAAAACTTCAAGAGGTGAGTAAAAATGATATAATACAATTTAATAGACATTTAAATTGTGCATCTTACTCACGGAAAATATACAGGGTGTTCCATTTAAATTAAACAAGTTATTGCCGTTTAAAGCTAGTAATTATTTAATATAAATTTTTGCACACTCGGTATAAGATAGTATTTTGTTTATTATTGCAACACAATATCTGATCAATAAATAAACTTCAGTAAATATTTAGTATTAAAAAGTTCGATACCCTTGGAGAAATGAAGCCTTAAAATTTTTACTGCAATTTCATAACATTGAAAATATTTCAAAAACGGTAAGGTTTAAATGAAATAAATCTTGATCACGTTTACGCCGTGTCGTATGTGGTGAACAACCCTGTATAATTTATTAGTAAATTTAAAAAAAAATGGATAAGGCCGGTTTTGCAACTTGACGCCTCATATTATCTTATACAATATTAAAATAATAAAATATTACCTTAATATCAATATCACAAAACAAACCCCATCACGGCAAGATCAAGATACTGGTTGGTCACTTCTCAAACTAGAAACTCAGACTGTGCCTACGGATCAAAAATAATTTAATACTTATTAACGGCTATTCTATTTTATTTTAATTAGATTATCAGATAAACCTGAGCTTCTTTTCGCCAAAACAACAACCAGGAACGCAGTGCAATATCGATTTTCGTAAAGCCTGATAGGTAGATTTTATCTAGATAATGATGTAAAATATTGAATACTATGGGGTATGTAATTTCATAGAGTAGATTATTTTTTTATTTATTTATGGTAACGTGATAGATATCAACAGTAAATAATGTAATGGGTGGCTATAAAACAAATTAAGCTGATAGAGATATGATCAATGTCAGTACAAGTGATTGTTAATAAAAATGTCCTTTTTTTATTTATTAAATATACAGGGTAGTTCACCACATACGACACGGAGTATTGTAGCTAAACGATGAGATTTTTACAAATTGTAAGTTTTGGGTTCGATGAAGGACTATTAGAGGTACAATTTAAAAATAATTTTACAAGATACAGAGTGTCCCAAATAAGTAAAAAATATCAAAGTTGTATTTTTTTAAATGGAACACCCTGTATATTATTTCATTTTTAGTTTCTAAGATTAAAATAAAGGCAAATTTGATTAAGGTTTATTATACTTAAACCTTACCGTGTTTGAAATATTTTCAATTTTGTGAAATTGCAGTAAAAATTTTAAGGCTTCATTTCTCCAAGGGTATCAAAATTTTTAATACTAAATATTTACTGAAGTTTATTTATTGATCAGTTATTTTGTTGCAATAATAAAAATAATACTACCTTATACAGAGTTCCTAAAAATTTATTTTAAATAATTATTAGCTTCAAACGGCAATAACTTGTTTAATTTAAATGGAACACCCTGTATATTTTACGAGAATCAGATGCACAATTTAATTGTCTATCAAATTATATTATACCATTTTTTACCTATCTCTTTAAGTTTCCGTAGAAAATGCATTTTCTTGTAATTTAGAACTTATTTATCAATATACCCATGGACTATTGACATTTTAGATTGTTTTTAAAGCAACAAATGTACAAAATGTACAGACTGGTAATATTATTATAGGTAATATATTACTAGCCCATTTGTATGCAAAAAGAAAAGGTAAGGTTTAAGTATAATAAACCTTAATCAAATTTACCTTTATTTTAATCGTAGAAACTAAAAATGTAATAATATACAGGGTGTTCCATTTAAAAAAATACAACTTTGATATTTTTTATTTATTTGGGACACTCTGTATCTTGTAAAAATATTTTTAAATTGTAGCTCTAATAGTCCTTCGACGAACCCCAAACTTACAATTTGTAAAAATATCATCGTTTAGCCACAATACTCCGTGTCGTATGTGGTGAACAACCCTGCATATACCGGGTGCGTCTCAAAAGTGGCTCACCCCCTATAACTTTTTTATTTTTTCAGATAAATAAACGAGATTTGGTTTGTTAGTGTATGACGTAAATTAGGATTGATTGGTGTATTCAATTGCTTTTGATCACTTCCGGTTTCACCGGAAATGACTACAACTTTAGATTTTTAAATGGCACCCTCGGTATATTTTTACTTTATTCGATAGAAAATGACATTCTGAATAGAATGACATGTCATATGTCAACTTTTGACATTCTCGCTTAAGAAAAAATTGTATTTTAAAATTCAATTTAGGGTGCCATGGCTATGTTAAAAACACTAATTATTCATCAAGAAGCTTAGGAAAACTAGATTCGATCGTCTAATGATTTTAGTGTCTTGTCCTGGCCAGTTAGAAATTGCTCTAATCGTATTTTTAAACATAGGTATCTCAATTTTTTTCAAATGGAACGAAGGTGGCTCATTAGCATATTTGGAAAAAGCATTTTTTTACGAATAATTTGATACCTCACACTTGGTATTTCAAGCCAAATTTTCGTTACGAACCTCAAGGCTTAATTTCAAATAAACCATAGGCGAAAATGTCAAAAGTTGACATATGTATGTCATTCTATTCAGAGTGACATTTTCTATTGAATAAAGTAAAAAAATACCGGGGGTGCCATTTAAAAATCAAAAGTTGTAGTCATTTCCGGTGAAACCGGAAGTGACCGATAACAATTGAATACGTCAACCAATCCTAATTTATGTCATATACTAACATACCAAATCTCGTTTTTTTTAATAAAAAAATAAAAAACTTATAGTGGTGAGCCACTTTTGAGATGCACCCGGTATACCAGAACCATCAAAATGATTAATGGTGATCCCTTCTTTGATTTTTAAATTTTTTTATAATATAATATTTATATGGTGATTATATAAAATTTTATATATGATATCGTTCTAAAAAAAATTTATATCATGGTTATATATAATTTTATACAGGGTTCGGCAATAGTGAGTCGGGCATCTGTAGCTCCGAGAAAATAAAGAGAAACCCCTCCTTATCGAACCTCGACACCCCACAGTCAATCCGTTTGCCAAAAATCAGCTTTAAACGTCAAGCAGTTTAAGCAGAATCGTGATTACTCAATGGTCATATTTTATGAAACACCGTGTATAAATTTTTAAAAAATCTTAAAATATGTAAAACAACAAAATAAAATATACGTGTTTAAAAGTTTTTCCGAAAAACTCACCGGTTTTTAAATAAAAAATATTCTAATATTTGAGGGGTGGTTTCACCCCCTTAGAATTCGAGTTTCGAAAAATCCCTTCTTATCGAACCTTTACACTCTAAAGTCAATCCGTTTTCCAAAAATCAGCTTTTTACGTCAAGCGCTTTAAGCAGGATCGTGATTAATCAATGACCAGATTTTTCGAAACACCCTGTATACATTTTTAAAAAATCTTAAAATATGTAAAAAAAAACAAAATAAAATATACGTGTTTAAGCGTTTTTTCGGAAACCTGACCGTTTTTTAAATAAAGAATATTGTAATATTTGAGGGGTGGTTTCACCCCCTTGGAACTGAAATTTCGAAAAATCCCTTCTTATCGAACCTCTACACCCTAGAATCAACGTGTATGCCAAAATTGAGCTTCTTACGTTGAGTGTTTTGAGCAGGATCGTGATTAATCAGTGAGTCAGTCACTTATGGATTTTATATATTAGTATAGATAGATTCTCAAAAATAAAATTAACCCATTGGCTTCACCAGGAGAAAATAATAAAAAAATACAACATTATACAAAAATATGATTTACTAATAAAAACTAAGATAACACAGGTATGTACAGTCTATATTTACAAATTTTATACAACAATTCAGATATTTTTAACAATATCACAAGCTTTAACAATTTCTCAACAACAGAATTAATTTCATATTCATAATATTTAAACAAAATTCAATTTCATGCTTTTTGTTATAGAAATTTTACAACAAGAAGAATTCTGGACCAATGTAGTTTCCACAGGTTGGAAAATTCGAAGGCGTACTAACCATTTCATGTCTATCTCCCACTTCGAAGACCATATCCAGACCTTTTGTCCAACCTCTGGGTTTCTCATCCCTTAACATCCATATTCCTAAATAAATAACCAATTAAAATTAGCGAAATTAGTCATTACTCAACTAAAAAACTAAAATCTTATGTGTATTTAGCAAAGCTGAGAAACAAACATGTTTTTTTTGTTGGTTTATAGTTATTTTTTATACAAGGCGATAAAATTTCTGGAGACGATAATGCAATTTTATCGTCGTGTATAAAACAATATTTTTTTACATAGCAAGTTACGTTTTAAAAAATATTCAGAAATTATTATTTCAAGGAATTTATTACGAGTAGAAAAAATATTGTGCTGGATTGGCATTGGTTTCTATGTAATTTGACAAATAAATGAAGCTGTCTCTTTAATTGTCAGTTTTGAGTCAATATTTTTTAATTCTCTTTCATGTCGATTGCTGATTGAATTGGAGCCAGAAATGGCTCAAAACGAAATAAGTAAGTTACCAACAGATATTCAGGCTAAGGCGACAAACGCCATATCCAAACTACTTCCATTTTAATCCTGAATAACTGAATGAAAAGGAATACAAAAATTTTCAAAAATGGAAGTAATTAAAAAACGTGCGAGAAGAAATAAAGTTTTTAACCTATCCTCGCTGTTAAAGTATCATTTAATCTACCCTTGTGGTTAAAGTACTATTTTATCTACCATTTTTGATAGATATAAGGCAATTTTAACAGTTGCTATGGAAAAAAATACAAAATCTATGATAAATTTGTACCTGGATTATCTGCCAGGAATCTCAGTACGACGACACCGTATTTGGGCACTCTGATAGTATCTTTCTTCACTGGATTCCGTAAATTTCTTTTCACCAAGTCATTTTCTTCGTCCAGATCCACTATTTCTTGTCTGGACATCGGTCTGTCAAACTGCCTGGACCCGACGATATAGAAATGATTTCCATGAAAATGGAAAACATGCTCGTCCTCATCTCCGGCTAAAAATAAAAAAAAACATTTAGTTACAATACTCATACATTTTCAATGATTTTTTAGTGAAATATGAATTAAATAAAACTAAGTAAACTATAAAATCAAGACTTTTAATGCCACTCTTTAGGAAACTAAATTTGGATATAAAAATAATATAATAAGATTTTCGTAGACAGCATGTATATACGCTCTATATATGATAAAACCAAAATGAACGAAACCTACACAGTAAACGAAAAAAAACATGTCCTATCTTTTCAGGCCGTATATATTTTTAAGGTAAAATACAAGCCTCGCAAAAATATATACTGCATATTGCTCTGAATAAAACATCAGCTAATACGGGTAGAAAAATTAAATTTATGCCTTAGATCTCTCTCTGCCAGTCGATATCCTAGAAGATGCGCATCCATAAAAATTTAAATTAACTAAAAACATCGGTTTAAAAACGTACGTTTTAAATATACATTAAGGAAAATTCTATTTCCGCAGTGAGCAAATGTACTAGACGTAAAAATATGGTAATCAAAATAAAAAAATAAAATAAATACAGATGTCAACGTAAAATTTAAAAAAAATATTTTATGTTTCTTTTATATACTAGAAAAACTTATTTGAAGACGTATATGTTCTGCAAATAAAAATATGTAAAAAAGTTCGTATAAATGTGTGTCCTAAAATGCTTAGTTTCGGAGATACAGGGTGTAGAAGTTTCATTTTTATATTGATTTTTTCCAAATAATTTCTGAAGTAACGTCATTATTTGTAGGAAAATTGGTATCAAAGAGTTTTTTGACAAGACAAATTTGATTTTTATGTCAATATGACTCCTACTTGTAGAGGGCGCCACCTACATATTTTTTAACTAGTTTTTTTCTTTTTTTAAGAGTAATAACTTTTCGTCCGTACCTGTATAAAACTACTGAGTAAAAAATGTACATTTACGATGTTTTTTAAGTAAAAAAGGTCTCTTGGTAAAAATGGCTACGACTAATGGTTCTCGAGATATTTGAAATCTCACTAACATAAACTCTTTGAATAAACATAAACTAAATAAGTTGACTAAATAGTTATTAGACTGAAATCATAAATTTGAAGTGTTTTTGTGCCAAAAGTGCAACAGAAACTGTTTTATCATCATTTTTCGCAGAAAAAATTATGATTAACTTATAATTATAATAATAATAGCTCCCGTATATAGCGTTTAACGTCTTGGTAGTATAGTATTTTTATATGCAGAATATGCTGCCGAAGTTTCCGGAATACAGTTCTTTACTATACAGGGTAAAATATTTTCAGGGCTTTCTCATTGCCGTTTTTTAAATTAGTGGAAAACACAGCGGAGTTATTATACTTTTAAAAATTAAAAAAATCTTATATACTCTCTATACTGCCATGTTATCATGACATTATGTTCTTTTAAATAAAAATTAAAAAAAAAATTGAAACACAAACTTTTCATATTTTTTCCATGAAAAAATGTATTTATGGTAAAAGATTCACAAAATTTTTAATAATTTTACCCTTGTAAGGGTTTTACTTATACCTGTTTTTTAGCAACCTACCTTTATCTATTATGATAACTTCCACGCTTTGTCCCAGAGGAATGTCTTCCAGATGAACGCATTCGCATATGGAAGCATCATCTTTGCATGTACCCGGTACCAAAACTTCATTACAAATTAAACTTGATGGTACGTCCATGGGTTGTGTGAGTAAAGGTGAGGAGGGATAAGCAAAAGTGAGGTTATTTATCCTGTAAGTCTTCGGTCTTAAGTCAGTAAATCCATCTGAAAATATATAACATTTTTGTCTAGCGATGTGTGTCGATCTTATAGTCTAAGAGCTGGCTACATAAAAAACCTTATTATCGTTACATAGCTAATTTTTCTTGTGAAATAATTTAGTTAGTTTTAATTATTTAATTAATGTAGCCATTATGAAATAGTCATGTCTGCCAGCGCGATCCCGGGACTTAAAGCGGGCGCGGCCAATCGAAAGGGTGAAATTTTGACACTAAAAATATTGTTACGTTTTTCGTCGGTTCCGTGTGGATAGAAAGTCACAATTTATTTAAACACTATTTATTTAACACTAATTAACAAAAACAATAACGATAAAAGACTTATAGAACTATTTACAAACGATTTATAACTAAGAATTTATTTTGAATTTTAGCGCGTCAACTGCACTTGTATATTTATAACTGCCCTCTCTAGGCCACAGCCGCCGGCTTTTATACCTACAGTATGGAGTCTTATAGCCAGGTGGATGACACTTCTTATGGGAGAACTGGAAATGGTTGAAAACTTGACTACAAGCGATTTTCTAGGAATCTTCCTTACCGATAAATTATTGACAAGAGTGACATATAAAACCTTGACATTCTTTCAGTATAACTGTTCATCTTTTTTCTTTCTAAAGTGTGCGTTGAAAGGAGACAAAAACAATTTTTTGCAACCCATAATTTGTTATTCGAACACCACTTTTCTCCTTGTCGGGTCGTTGTCGTTGACTTGTCGCCATTTTATTTCTTTTGTTTACACGCTGCAGTTTGCTTTGTAAATTGAATACATAAATTATTTAGGCAAATATAGGTTTTTGATAAAACTCCTTGGACTAACGTGTTGGTAAGTGTTGATAAATAAGTTTTTTTTCATCTTAACATGCTCATTGTCATTCTCCTGATTTAGGTGACAGAAAAGGATCATCAAATCAAATTGAATTTTATATTTTTTCATCCCAGGACCGATAATAAAATATATATTTTATGGATACCTTCCTAAATATCAACGAGATGAGCCATCGGAAGAAAGGGACCATAGTACAAAACAGAAAGGTGATCTTTTTTCTTTCCACTTAGGATATTGAAATTATTATATACTGTAGTCGTGTTTGGCATTATGCTCTTAGAAATATAGGTAAACAAAGAAGAACAGATATAAAGCATCCCAGAGGAAAAGAGAGGCAATACCTGTACTCTCTCTCTGATATTTGTGAAAGTTACGGCAAAGTATTGTTGTAAATGTCATCTTTTTAATCGACCTGAAAACTTCGAGCAAAAAGATGACACTTTCAACAAAACCCTGACAGATATCAGAGACGATACAGGTTTTTCCTCTCTTTTTCCCTGGAATACTTTTAATTTATTATTCTTTGTTTATCTAGATTTCTCAGAGCACTATGAACGAACTCAGCTTGTATGTTTGAAATAATCGTCCAGTTGGCTTCAAAATGATGATCGATGACATTTCCTATATAATTTTACTTTCAAAATTATGATATATATCGTCATTTCTAAGCCATCTATGACGCCATTTTTTTCAGTTTTGTTATAATTAATTTTGTCTCTTGATCTACTTGTAACATTATTTTTTAATTTTATTAATTTATTGTGGTGAAATTAATTTCTGTTGTATATTTGATAATGATATTAAACATATTTTTAAAAAATGGTGTATTTTTTGTGTTTTTATGTATGTCATAATTAAAAATAAATGAAGAATTAAATTTTTTTATTTTTTAAAGTTCCCGTCATGCGTTACAATCTAGTCCGTAGTTCCTACAAGCGATATTGGGGGCGCTAGTAGCAGTAGACTTGTCAACAGTGTCAAATTTAAACGTCAATTTCACTTTCCAATATTTAGCAAGGCGCTCGCACTTCCCCTTGTGTATGTGTTTTGTGCTTATAGCACTCCATAACCTACAGCAAAAGAAATCTAGAATAGTCCATAGATCGTTAGGTGCATAGAGAAGGTTTTGAATGTTCTCGTATGTACTAGTCCATTCCAGTGGAACTCGATTCTTCTCGAACGAATGAATCATTACGGTGTCTATTCTTTAATGCGATGTTAAGGTCATCTGAGGGCGGGACATATAGTTAGGTTAGGTCGAGTCCACACGGGTCCGCAACAATATTATAAGGTACACGAGTTATAATTACAAAAACAGCTTTTATTTATTTTTAAAAAACGTGGAAAATTGTTGGCATATGTTTTTCTCGTCGCTAAAATGCCGGCAGACAACGCGAAAGAGGCATAAAATTCAAAAAAAAATCATGACATACATGCATGCCGATTGGTGGAATGTCATTTATTTATTTTAAAAGCCATATACAAAAGGGCAGACAAAAAGATCGTGGCTAAATCAGTATAGAAAAATCATGTATACAATTATATTATAAATATATTTTTTATAATTTCAATAACAGATATCATATTTTTACTATTCTATCTCACTATTTGTATCTGACTCGTCGTACTGCAGAGCCGTCCTCTGAGTCGATATCTGCACCGTAAAACTTTTTTAGACTTCATGTATTATGTTTTAATTGATAACGCGGCGAGCGTTTCCGGGAAACGCTTATACAGGGTGCGTCTTAAATAAGTGCAAATACTTTTAGAGGTGATATATTTCGACCCCAGGAACACGTCTACGAGTTTTTTTTCGCAAAAAAGATGTTGAAAATCGTGCACGATGATAAGGTTTTTTATGTAGCCAGCTCTCCGTCTATTAGTATTAGTAAAATGATAGATGTAGGTATATATTTTTTATTGACCGTAAAAAATATCCATCTGTAGCATTTTTTTAAAATATCCTTACCGTTGTTTGATCCTTTACCATCGTACTTGTAATCGATCTCCAAAAATATCTTCCTGTCCACCTCTTCTTTTCTCAGTTCTTCCGGCATCTTCTGCAGAGATTTGACATTTGCCAGGCACACTTTACCTACTTCGGACTCGCACAGTGACGTGTCGAAGTGTCTAGAAGTTTTTTCGACGTTTTTTGGAGCTGCGTTATCAATTTTGTTGTCAGTTTCAAAACTAGCTTCTGGAGACTTGTAGTTTACAACTGCTAATCCATGGAGATCAGTTTCTTGACAGGTAGATCTAAAATTTGAAGAAGAAATTTACTAGTTGCCAAATGGATGATTTTTTAAAACGTCAAAGGATTATGAAAAGAGACCTTAAATATCAAAATTAGAAAAGACATTATGTGTGCACTATATGCGCATATTTGAAGTGGAAATTAATACTGACAGCTATTAAATTGGAGGGTTTGTAGGACATATTTGAAAAAGTAACATATAACGCTGCAAAATTGAACCTCACTTAGCTTTAAATCAAACGTTTTTTGGGCTTCGCGCGATCCTTACCACTTTTTTTCTCGCTAGCTCAATGTGTGAAGGCTGTGGTATGTCATGACCTTGAATGTTTGCTCCCATCGCGTGTAAAGGTGCATATTCACTATCCGAACGAATGAAGGAATGTTCATTCGTTCGTTCGGTAGTAGTATGGACGGAACCGGATTTTAGAACCAAACGAAAACACCTTAACCCATTACGAACGAACGAACGAACGAATGAACGAACGAACGAACGAACGAACGAATGTGCGGTATATTTAGACGGGGACCGAACGCATGCGGCCGTTCGTTCGTTCGTTCGCTCGACCATCCGTTTCGAGTCGGTACATCAAAGGCGTTCGCCAACAAATGCCTCCGGTCTTCTCGTGCGGTTCCATCGTACGGTCTCCGTCCATACCACTAGCGAACATTCATTCGTTCTTTCGTTCGTTCGTTCGTTCGAATGAATACGCACCTTTATGTACCGACTCGAAACGGATGGCCGAGCGAACGAACAAACGAACGACCGCATGCGTTCGGTCCACCGTCCAAATATACCGAATTCCATTCGTTCGCTCGCTCGTTCGGATAATGAATACGCATCTTAAAGAAGTATCACTTCAAAATCACAGAATCACTTACTTGACGTTCATGTAATACGCCCCTTTACTCAATCCAGCCTTCAAAACAAAATCAACCCTCTCACCCTTTGACAGTTTCACTCCGGTAACTTCGTGGGGTGTTATCGGATTACCATCCAAGGCAATAACCTTGACCGGATGTTCGTCTATGGTCAGCGTAACCGGGCATCCGGCAGTTCCGCTGACGTAGGCAGCTCTGAATCGATGTCTTTTGCCTGGATGGATGTTGAAAAGGGCTAGACTGGAACCCCTTTCGCTGGGTGCCTTGCCGTTGATGAGTAGGGTGGTGCTTTGGGTGGGATCTGTGTGGGATGGGTGGGAGAAATCACCTGGAAAAAACAGAGATACCTTGAAAAAATTAGAAGAGAAATGGCGTTAGCAGGTTTAGTACCAGGAAATGAAAAAGGCTTTATTTAAAAAATTGCCGACGATATTTGGATGAAAATTGTGTCTGGGTGTTTTTTGACATGAGAAACTTGATTTCTATGACTGACTCCTATATTATATTACCTATTACAAATGGCGGAAATGTATATTTTTTTACTCAGTTAAGAAATACATATAGGTAGTGCCTACTAGAAGTAGGAGTACTACTGGCATTGGAATGGAACTTACTGTCAAAAAACATCCAGACACAATAAAATACGTTGCCGTAGTAAGTATTTATAACTTTTTATATGATACAAATTAGGATTGATTGACATATTCAATTATTTTCGATCACTTCCTGTTTCACCGGAAATGACTACAACTTTAGATTTTTAAATAGCACCATATTTTTTTACTTTATTCGATAGAAAATGACACTCTGAATAGAATGACATATCATGTCAACTTTTGACATTTTCGAATATGGTTTATTTGAAATTGTAGTATGCGGTTCATAATGACAATTTGACTCGAAATACCAAGTGTGTGGTTAGTGATGTTGATAGCGAATATTTCCATTCGAATTTTGCAGGAAATTTCAGATATTTCCGAAATATTCGGTCCCAAAATCGCGAATATTCGCAAAAATCCAAATTTTGTAAGAAATTTCTATTCAAAATTCAAGACATTGAGCAAAAATTTGACGAAAGTGTATCAAGTATGCCGATTCTTAAGTCAGAAGAAAAATAATGCTTCTCCGCCTTACAAAATAAAAAACCTATGGCTCTTGACCCAAGGCATTTTGCCGCGAATCTCTTGGACCCCTGTTTCCTGGGAGAGCACCTTAACAATGAAGAACACATAGCCGCTATGGAATTTATCAACAATATCACCAACAATCATCCTCAGTTTGTCAATAATAAGCCATTTTTACAGATGTAACAAATTATTGAGCCAAAATTTATGGGCGGTCGACTACGTTTGGATGTCAGTTAAAAATGTAGACTGTCTAAGTTGGTAAGCAATGTGTAAAAATACTCAGTTGAAATATTTAGCTGTTGCTCTGCTGTCTTTACCAACGTCATCTGCAGCCACAAGGAGAAGTTTCAGTACTTACAGTTTTATCCATACTAAAAAAAGGAATCACTTATCTGCACAAAGAGCCGGTAAAATAATGTTCGTAGCTCATAACAATAAATGATTACTACAAAAACAAAAAGTGGATATGGAGCATGATATGCAACAACATGAAATTCCTCCAGAACCACTAGAACTCGTGGAGATAGAGATCCATCCTTCAGAATCAGAACCAGATGATACATCAAATATATCTGATTTAGAAATAGAAACTGACGAAGACAGTACTACTACTACTATAATACCCTATGAAGATGGGACCAGCTCGGCGCCTGATATTCCGAAATAGTATAATTCAGTTATTTGTGTTTTACGTTTTTTAAATTTATATTTCGTGCTTTTTTGTTTTTTTTTTAAATTCATAGTCATAGTTCGTGGTTTATGCACAAAATACAAATGTTACCAAATGATTTTTGTTATGGGTTATCTTTATGACTTTTATAGGTTATGTATAGTTTATTAGAAATATAACAACTAATACCGTATGATCGAATAAAAACGGCGTCAACGATGGCTATGAAATGAAGATCGCTGTCATTTTATATGTAAAATTATATGGGAAATGTCATCGATCGTCATTTCCAAGCCAGCTGGACGCTGTTTTTTTTCGATCATACGGTATTATGTTTATCGTTTTTTTTTTCACTTACATGCTGGTATCAAATGTCTATCTAATTTATTCATTGATTGTATCGACAAAAAATATGTAAAATTGTAAAATTTCCTAATATTTCATAAATTTCCGAAAGTTTCAGAAATTTCTTGCAACAATAAAAAATTTCTGAAATATTAACATCACTATGTGTGGTATCAAATTATTCGTAAAAAGTGCTTTTTCCAAATATGCTCAGAGCCACTCTCGTTTCATTTGAAAAAATTGAATTATGATTAAAAATACGACTTGGATATTTTTTAACCGACCAAGATAAGATACGTAAAACATTAGACGATCAAATGTATTTGTCCAAGGCTCCGTGATTGAAAATTAGTGTTTTCAATACAGACATATGGCACTCTAGATTAAAATTCAAAACAAGATTTTTTTAAGATAGAATGTTAAAAGTTGACATATGGGGATTTGTCATTTTTTTCAGAGTGTCATTTTCTATAGAATAAATTAAAAAAAAAACTCCGAGGGTGTCATTTAAAAATCAAAAGTTGTAGTCAATTCCGGTGAAACAGGAAGTGACCGAAAACCATTGAATACGTCAATCAATCTTAATTTATTGTCATATACTAACAGACCAAATCTCGTTTTTTTATCTGAGAAAATAAAAAAGTTATAGGGGTGAGCCACTTTTGAGTTGCACCCGGTATATAAATACTTTTGGATTAAACTTTTTTAATTTTGCAAATATTCATTGATTTCACAGACATTCATTGATCGTACAGTGTGTTACAGTTTTTTAACTAAATATAAATTAATTTTCTCTTCACATCGGATAGAAATTTAGAACAGTAATAACGAAGAATCTATCATTGTTACACGTTATTTCACAGTTTTTCTTTTTCTTCTTGTCATTTATTAATTTACCGCAACCTAATCCATTTCTCCCATCCTTTTCAACTTTCAAATTCAATCTATACGAAACGTATCATTAAATCTTTCACTACGCGGGTTCTCGCCATTACAACCTAGTAATGTTAAAAAGTATCGACATTTTTATTATCGATATTCTTAAAAAATGTATCATTACAATATTGTGAAGATCTCGATAAAAGAAACATATTTTCTCCTTACCGTTTTTCAAATAAGTCCAAAATAACCGAGTTATTCAAGTTTGCAAATTAAAAAAAAATTGATTTATTTTTGAAAACATTTCAGAGCCACCGGAAACTGAGTATACTGTAGGAACATTTTTGGTGAACAGGCAGTTCTAAAAAGTTTTCTAAAATATACAGGAAAATTTAAAAGAAAATGGACGATATTCAACATCTTTTATGCAAATAAAACCCAAAACAATAGACATCAAAACTATTTACTTTAAACACTGGACGAGAGTCTCGCTAACTAAGGTTGGCATCATCAGCAGATGATTAAATATAACTACTATTATTGATAGTTAATATATTGGTGAGTTTAAAAACTATCGATATATTTCCAAAAAATGTATCGATACTTTTCTACATCCCTATTACTGCTATCTACTAGATATATGATACCCTGCAGCATAGTGGTTTTTCTTTCTTCTAAATAGCTAGGTAAAATATGAACTTTAATAAAACAGCCAGAAATATATATTTATTTAATGAAATTTCATTTCCTTGGAAGTTTATTACTTTGCCCTAATGAAATTTCCTGCTTCTGTTATGGTGCCAGAATTGGTCTAATATATTTATTTTACTGTGTAACACCAAAGATTCCAACCCCCAACTGTAATATTTATGTTAGTTTTATTTTTTTTTCAGTTCAAAACAAGGGTTTTTTTATTATTGATTTATCAAAAAAGCCTACTAAATAAGTGAATGTATTTTAACTCGTATTATACAGGGTGTTTCAAAAAACATGTGCCATCTCTCGTGGGGAGACTCATCACGTAAAAATAAGACTTATTTTTCATATCAACATAGGTCCGATTGTGCTTTGTTTTGTAGCTACAGGGTGTTAAAGTCTTAATTAGTGTTAAGTCGAAAATATAGTTATTTTTTTTTATTTTTAGGACAAATTCAACCATATTTTCATGTTCTTTTTAATTTTCTCTAAAACGGTATGAAAATTTGGAAAACTATAAACGGGATTAACCATTTTAGAGAAAGCAACATTGTTCATGACAAATGCATTTTTTTCTAAATGTCAATAATAAAAAAGGTTTTCCTCTTGTAAAAACAATCCGGGTACCTATATATTGTAGGTTACAACAATTTTTAAAATATATTAACCTTACCTGACCATTCTGAAATCATGACAACATGCTCCTTCAAATCAACATCATACAGTTTCTTGTGAGGCTCTACCCTTTCAGCTTTTCGTACAATCAAAGCTCCAAACAATCCATTTGATCTATCAGCATCCGTAAAAGCATGATAAAAGTGTGTACCAGCATAGGATGCTCTGAATTTGTACTGGAACACTGTGTGACTAGGGATCGGACATTGCGTTACCTAAAACCATAATTTTGTTTAAATAATCTACCCAGACTATAGCCATATTCACTAACGTCTAGCGCTAAGCGCTTTTAGACGCTCAGCGTATATGACGTTAATTTTCGGTTAGCGCCAACTTAACTAGCGATTTGGGTATTCTCATTTGACGCGTTTAGCGTCTTTACTGATTGCGCTAAGCGTTCGAAAACGGCTACCTTAAAAGATCGTTTTACTTGTTGAACTGTCAGTAAAAATAGAAAAAATTGTGATTTTGTGCGTTCTCTTGCTCTTTAGTGAAAACTACTTCTTCTTCTATAAATTCGTCAATAAGTAATTGATAATTTACGACTTGACAGCTATAAATATTGTTTAAAACATCGAAAATGCTGAGAGGTATATTCAACAATTCCGTCGTATAATAAGGATAATAACATATCCATAGAAAAATAGGTCGACATAACTCAAAAATAGGTTATGAAATTCACGTAACATAGACATTTTTCATTGTTTTATCCATATTTTACTATAATATAATTATGCTCAACGCGTATCCAGAAAACGATTCGCAGGGCAACGGGAATACCATATCTTATTTGTATCATGATAATTACCATAGGAACTCCATCCATAAACGGTGCCTCATGATTGGGTTGACCCCTCCAATGCAACGTCACACTTTTTCCAGGAATTTTATTGATGACGTCCACAATCAAAATGTCATTTTGACATACTTGTATTGGAGGACCTGGAATCCTCCTATTGGCTGTGATAATGCTTCTTGGACTGCTTTCTTCGTTCAGTTGACAGAAGATGTTACTGCACTGTGAGTGTGTGCCACTGACGTTTTTCCTACATCCTTGACAGATACTTTAATAAAAAAATAAAAAAGAATGTTAGAATAAATAAAAGAGTTATGTGTAAATGGATGTAAAGACTGTTCAGTCATCGTTCAAAAAATTATACTACCTTATACAGAATGTCTAAAATTTTATTTTAAATAATTACTAGCTTTAAACGGCAATAACTTATTTAATTTAAATGGAACACCCTGTATAGTTTATGAGAATCAGATGCACAATTTAATTGTCTATCAAATTGTATTATGCCATTTTTTACCTATCTCTTCAAGTTTCCGTAGAAAATGCGTTTTCTTGTAATTTAGAACTCATTTATCAATATACCCTTGGAATACTGACATTTTAGATTATTTTTAAAGATGTACCAAATTTTTAAAGAGTACAGGTATTAATATTGTCGATATAGTCTGTTTATTTTATTAAAAAAAACTGTTTAAATATTTGTTAAAGAGGACCAATTAATAATAATTGCTCCAAATACTAAAAAACTGAATTTTGTATGTGTATTAGACAGTGGGGTAAAAACTAACACCTTAAAAATGATATTTCATTTTTTGACAAATGTTTATTTATAACAACAGAGACATTCATATTCATAACTTATTATTATATTGACTTCTGATTAAAATCCACATTTATTTAGAATAATTTATTAACGAACATAATTAAGTATGTAATTAATTAGTATTTGGGCGGAAATAATGGTGGTATATTTAATTTTGGTATACTCTTTTATAAAGATTTATATCATTTTCTTTGTGCATACAAATGGGCTAGTAATATTATGATTTTGCTAAAAACGATAATATTACTAGCCTGTACATTTTGTAGATTTGTTGCTTTAAAAACAATCTAAAATGTCAATATTATTAATAAATGAGGTCTAAATTATAAGAAAATGAATTTTCTACGAAAACTTGAAGGGATAGATAAAAAGTGATATAATATATCATTGTGCATCTGATTCTCCTAAAATATACACGCGTTCAATTTAAATTAAACAAGTTATTGCCGTTCATAGCTAGAAATAATTTAAAATAAATTTTTAGACACTCTGTATGAGGTAGTATTATTTTTATTATTGCAACAAAATATCTGATCACTAAATAGACTTCAGTAAATATTTAGTATTAAAAACCTTGAGACCCTTGGAGAAATGAAGCCTTAAAATTTTTACTGCAATTTCACAAAATTGAAAATATTTCAAAAACGGTAAGGTTTAAGTGTAATAAACCTTAATCAAATTTACCTTTATTTTAATCGTAGAAACTAAAAATGTAATAATATACAGGGTGTTCCATTTAAAAAAATACAACTTCGATATTTTTTATTTATTTGGGACACTCTGTATCTTGTAAAAATAATTTTAAATTGTAGCTCTAATAGTCTTTCAACGAACCCAAAAATTACAATTTGTAAAAATCTAACCATTTAGCTACAATACTCCGTGTCGTATGTGGTGAACAACCCTGTATATGACGTGATGTTGAACGATAGCTAAACGTTCTATACTTACTGGTTGTCTGTATGGTACATTTCTATGTTAAGTTTAACTCGGCATATCATTGGCCAGTCGAGTTCATGGCATGGTCTATCACAGCTCTTGAAATTTTGATCTGTAATAGAAAGAGACATAGACATAAAGTGGATTGGTTTCTTTTAGCCCAAGATATACAGGGAAATGTTAACCTTTTGTTTATTTATATTTCCCTAGTTTGATTTAAGTGCAGCCTTCCCATAGAGTCTTCCTTACTGACATATAATCCTTCATTCAAGATTTGACATTGTCATGGATGTAGTTCATAAGCTGAATTTAGACAATATATTTATTTTTTACGTAATTTATTTGTGCACATTGGTATAAAAAAGCGTTATTCAAAATATATTTAATTATTGTTTAACACTCTCTGTAGTACCTACCTCAAGCTATTTTTAAGCCGAGCTCTTATTAACGCAAAGACTTTCACCATATTTATATTTTTTGTTAAGTAACACCTATACTGCTTTTTTGAACCTGACTGATTGTTAATTGCCTTAAATTTGTCCATCACTTTTTCTTCTGATCAGTTATTACTATCATATTTTATTTAATAATTAATAATTATTTCAAACAACAATACAATAATTTTAACGAGCACCTTAAAATTTTGATGCATTTTAAAGTTTTATATTTTGTGTTTTAGTTGACCGATTTTGATGATCTTTTAAGCAATTTGTAGCTAAATTATTGGGCTTTTAAGCATCTCTTTCCAAATTAAAAATGGAAATTATCATCTGTCAATTATACGAGGGAAAACAAAATGTTGTTATTTTGGTGAAAGTTTGGAACACCCTGTGGAATATGTTAAAAAGGCAAGGAATTTAAAAAGTATTTTATCATTTAGATGCGTCCTTTCTCCATAGTTTATTTTTTGGTTCATCTCAATAGCTTTATTTTCTTTGGAGATATTCGCTTTTGAAGAAGACACTAAAATTTTTTCGTAATTTTTACATTAAAATCATGCCTTTGCTTTTGGTCCCAGTCAACAGATCTATAAAATAGTGTTTATGATTTATGTAATATCACTGTAATTGAAAAATCATATTATTTTTGTCTGTTGTCTGTTGAGCAGTTACTCTAGTAGAGATAGTTTTAAGACCAGAAGTTGTATCCGGCTATAGTTGCTTAAATTGAAGATGATAGAGATCAAAATTATGTCGCTAGCAGATGTGTGTGTGCACCAAGTACAGTGCAGTACCTCCCTCGAGACAAGTCCATATGATCTAGACGTCCAGAAACCTTCCCATGAGACCTATGAATCTAAATGATTGACTTATTGAGAGTTTATCGCTAAGAAACCTCCGTTTGCCAGCTTTTCAAATTTATAATGAACTAGCGTGTACCCGCGATTTTGTTCGCGTTGAATTAATCATTTGTAATGGTGATGATAAAGCAAAGCAAGAATTTCCATTGACACACAAACTGGATAAAATTTTCTCACATTTATGTCAGCATGAGAAAAAACAATATGGCGATATCATTACATAACTTGGTAATATTTGAGGGGTAGTTTCATCTCGTTGGAATTTGACTTTCGAAAAATCTGCTTGCCAAAAATAAGTTTTTTACGTCAAGCAGTTTAAGCAGAATCATGGTTAATCAATTACCCAACTTTTTGGAACACCCTGTATGATTTTCTTAAAAATTTCAAAATATGTAAAAAAAATTATGCGTGTCCAAGCGTTTTCCCGAAAGACTAACCGTTTTTTAAATAACAAATATTGTAATATTTGAGGGGCGTTTTTACCCTCTTGGAATTTGAGATTCTAGAAACCTCTCCTTATCGAACCCTACACCCCACAGTCAACCCGTTTGTCAAAAATCAGCTTTAAACGTCAAACAGTTTAAGCAGAATCGTGATTACTTAATGGTCATATTTTATGAAACACCCTGTATAAATTTTTAAAGAATCTTAAAATATGTAAAAGCACAAAATAAAATATACGCGTTTAAGAGTTTTTCGGAAAAACTCGCCGGTTTTTAAATAAAAAATATTCTAATATTTGAGGGGTGGTTTCACCCCCTTAGAATTCGAGTTTCGAAAAATCCCTTCTTATCGAACCTCTACACCCTAAAGTCAATCCGTTTTCCAAAAATCAGCTTTTTACGTCAAGCGCTTTAAGCAGGATCGTGATTAATCAATGACCAGATTTTTCGAAACACCCTGTATACATTTTTGAAAAATCTTAAAATATGTAAAAAACAAAATAAAATATACGTGTTTAAGCGTTTTTCTGGACACTTGACAGTTTCTTAAATAAAAAAATATTGTAATATTTCAGGGGTGGTTTCACCCCCTTAGAACTGGAATTTCGAAAAATCCCTTCTTATCGAATCTCTACACCCTAGAATCAACCTGTATGCCAAAATTGAGCTTCTTACGTTGAGTGGTTTGAGCAGGATCGTGATTAATCAGTGAGTCAGTAACTTAAGGATTTTATATATTAGTATAGATTGCACCTGTAGAATGGAAGTGTAAGTAAGTACATGTAAGGAGGGGCGATTGGACTGTAAGAAAAAGATTGACTAGAATCTAAAGCAAAAGCACGGTTTTAATGTAAAAATGACAAAAAAATTTTAGTGTCTTCTTCAAAAATAAATATATCAAACAATAATAAAGCTATTGAGATGAACCAGAAAACAAACTATCAAGAAAGGATGTACCTTCCACAATATAGAGAAAAAAAATTATGTATAATGACATGGTACACCTTTATTTTCTATAACAAAATTATTAAATATTGCATTTACACTTATGGTAGTTTCCCAAAGAGGTGAAAGTAGTGCCAGCCAAAGAGAAACGGTACTTGCTACACGTATAATAAATATTTTCGCATTTCTTCACTGGTCGATACCTTTGAATTGTAAAGCACCATAGTGCTCGGTAAAAGAAGAATAGAAAGTTTCGGGAAAAATTCACTTATGTGTCGTAAAATTAAACAAATAAATCTATGACATTTATATCCAATAATGTTTATTTATTATTCAAATTTATCACTTGCAACGAAAGTATGTTTAATATACAGTTATAAGCAAATTGCTATAAAATTTTGCAGTAAAACTTAAACCATTATTATTCTCTTTGGGACTTAAAGTTTGGTTTGGTTTGGTTTTTTTTTAATTTTTTAAAACTGTTTTTTTTTTACTTTATAACGTCAAAAGTGATACAGTGTAAATTTCGTTTAAACTATATCAAATTTAAAGAAGAGATATAATTTTTAAGGTTTATTTCCTAATTGATAAAATTTCATTAAATATAACTTTATTCTCGTTTTTTTTTAATAATTTTGTGGTTCAGTCCATCAATGAAATGAGCTCTACAGGGTGAGTCTTAAATAAGTGAAAATAGATATTTTCAGGGTTGGTAGATCTCGATAAAAGAGACATATTTTCTCTTTACCGTTTTTCAAATAAGTCCAAAATAACTGAGATATTTTACTTTGAAAATTTAAAAATTTGATAATTTTCGCCTAAATTTTGAGAACCACTGGATCTTTCCTGGGGTTTCTTTCTTGTAAATTTAAAACAAAATTCAAAAAATGTTTAAAAAAATGTAAATTTTCAAAAATTATTTTTCGCGAAAAAACCTCATAGACTGGTGGAAATATACTATCCCTGAAAATATTTGCACTTATTTAAGACTCAACCTGTATATCAAAATAGCTTTAGATTTTTGCAAATCAAAATTTTATTTAAACACTTGTTGAACTAAAGAACTGTGAGATGATTTATTAAAATAATTTCAAAACCAAACAGTTTTTCCTTGTAATACGATACGATTGAGAAAAACAACGTCAACATAGAAAACAGGTAATACGTAATAACAATATTCAGCAGACGCTAAAAGTCATAAAATGTCATAACCATTTTTTACATTGCAATACTCTGTACAGGGTGGGTCAAATTCGACGCTTTTAAATGGAAACACCCTTTTCTATAGGAGATAGACAAAAACTAATATCGGTGTCTGGAGCTCAATTTTTGTCAAAAACATGGTGAAAACCGCATATCGATATCTGTTACCCTTTCGGAGTTACGGGGTGTTTTTCAAAAATATGCATTTTTAATAAATCGCTGTAACTTTTTTGCTATGGGAAATTTTGTATTTTTATGAAAACATTTCCAAAGTACCTTTTTACGTAGAATTTAATGGTTTAAGTATATTCTTTTTTTAAATTAATATTTTAAGAATTATCAACGGAAAATTTGATTTTTTATATGGGACACCCTGTATATTTTTAGTTTATTGAAAAGAATTTAAAATTACCTTTCTAAAAATATAACACACTTGATGTTTTGTCCAATTCCTCTTCGAGATATAGAGTATATAAAAGTTTGCCCGTTTTAAATGAGTAGGCTTTGAACGGCACCGGCTATAATGCAAAAAATTCAAGCTGTGAGCATCAATTAAAACGAAAATAATATTTGTTATGAGAGATACAGAATTTTATAACAATTTAAAATATATTTAACCAACATCAACACATTTAAACGATATCTAATAACAATAAAAATAAATAGCAAACCAAGACATGAGATTTTGTTTCAGGTGTTCGACATATCAACCGTCTTCTGTTATGGACAAACGGGGCAGTTTTTGAAAATTTCTCGCGGAATTCATTAACTCAGTGGGGGTGAAAGATACCCTCTCATAACTGTTTAGTATTTCTAATTCTTGTCTAGATTATACGGAATAAGGAACCTTTATTATTCTGCAAATATATCCATAGGATTAGATCCATGGGCACTAAGTCAGGCGGCCTCGACGGCCAACGGCTGGGATCATGGTTAGCTATTCAATTATTCTTGAAATTGGCTGCAAAAATTTTCTTATAATTTCAGCGTTCAGAGGCGGTGCGTCGTCTTGCTGGAAAAATATGTTTTCGAGTTCCATTAAGGCCATATCATCAATAAGGGGTCCAAAGCCTACTAGTTAAAAGTGGCGAACTTTTAAAAATTCTGTATTTCGAAGGGGATTATAACAAAATATCAAGTGTGCTATATTTTTGGAAAGGTAATTTTAAATTCTTTTCAGTTAATTAAAAATATACAGGGTGTCCCAAATAAAAAATCAATTTTTCTGTTGATAACTAAAAAAAATTATACTTAAACCATTAAATTCTACGTAAAATGGTGCTTTGGAAATGTTTGCATAAAAATACAAAATTTTCCATAGCAAAAAAGTTACAGCGATTTGTTAAAAATGCATATTTTTGAAAAACACCCCGTAACTCCGAAACGGTAACAGATATCGATATGCGGTTTTCACCATCATGTTTTTGACAAAAATTGAGCTCCAGACACCGATATTAGTTTTTGTCTATCTCCTATAGAAAAGGTTGTTTCCATTTAAAAGCGTCGAATTTGACCCACCCTGTACAGATCGTGAATTTTCAAAAATTTCTCCAAAGAATTTTTATTCTCTTCTAATCATTCCCCAAGACCTTGTAAATAATGACTAAAACACTATAAATCAAAACTTACCAGGCATTGGAGTCAGATACAATATAGTCACCACTGCTGCTGACATCCCCAATATAATAGACAGCCTGATCAAGATGTTCTGACTAGTTGACATTGCAGTCATCTTGTAATCCTTATTTATTATACTTATATTATTGTTGTTATTGTTAATGGTAGTTTTCTCACTTTCTTCAACCATCACCGAAGTTTATAACATCACTTTAAATTTAAAAAAATCACAAATATTTAAACAATACCTAGTTACTAAAAAATTACATAATTCTATATAACTTTATACTGTTTTTTTCTCTCTTTAAAATAATATGTTCTTATGGTCGAACTAGACCATAATAAACCGCGTGTTGGTCAAGGAAGGCCAACGTCAACTGCCGTAAACATATTACAGCAAAAGAAAAGACAGCCCGAGGCAGCAAGCTGAAGAAATGGTAAAATTGCATCGAGAAGTCTTTAGGTATCGTTCTTCTACTTTTACCAGGGTTATACGAAAAGATCTTTACAGCGCAGAGTAAGAAGAGTAATTTTATTTACCTATCTTTAAATTACAGTTGGGGTTCGAACCTTTGGTTTTACAACAGCAAAATAAAACACTTCTTCTTAGTAGCTGCGTCGCTGATGTTACACCAATCCCGTATGTTTCTTAGCCAGGAATGTTGTTTTCTTCCTGGGCCTCGCCGTCCCTCTATTTTTCCTTGTAGAATCAGCTTAGGAATGTAATATTGGTCTCCTCTAAGGATATGCCCAAGATATGAAACTTTTCTTTCTTTAACTATATTAAGCATTTCTCGTTCATAACCTGCAGTCCTTAAAACTTCTTCGTTGGTGGCATATGCGGTCCATGGTACACGTAAGAGTCTTCCGGAGATCCACATCTCGAAAGCCTCGATGTGGTTCAGGGTTCTAGCCAGAGACTTAACGTTTCTGCGCCGTATAGTAAGTATATGTAGCATTTTACTACCCATAGTCTAAGTGCTAGCGGGAGACTGCTTGCTAATAGGAAGTTTTTACGTTTAAAAAATGTTGGTTTTGCATAATTCGTTCTAAGTTTAACTTCCTCATCGCAGTCCCATCGTCCATTGATTCATTGATACCTAGATATTTAAATCGTGGTACTCGCTCTATAATATTTCCATCCACCGCCAACGCGGTGTTGATTATAGGCTGGCGTCCTATTACCATAAGTTTGGTCTTGGTAGCGTTGATTTTAAGACCGAAACGATTTCCCATTATCTTATTTATTATTTGCTGGAGATCCTCTAAAGTTGGTGTTAGGATTGCCGTATCATCTGCAAATTATCTTATATTGTTAATTGGAACTCCGCTAATCTTAATTCCTTCACTTTCTCCTTCCAGGACTATTTGAAATATCTTTTCGACGTATATATTAAAAAGTGTTGGTGACAGTGTACAGCCCTGGCGGACACCTTTACACACATTGAAGGTGTCTGTGGATAAATTTTTGTTAACTCTTATCTCCGCGGTTTGGTTCCATAACAAAACACTAATTCACCACAATACACCAAAACACTTTATTTTTGCACTGGATGCGCGTTTCACTAACCGTGTTAGCAGCATCAGCAGATGATTAAAACTAAACTAATACCTTTTTTACCGAGTCATTTACATAGGCCTAAGAATAAAACATCTCCACTTGAAATTTCGGTTGTTTATAAAAGTTCATGTCGAGATTGTAATCAGAAATATGTTTGGCAAACTAGAAGATTTATTATAACTAGATTTAAAGAATATATGGCTCAGATAAGATATGGTAGATCAGACAAAGCTTCGCGTTGCTCAACATATTGTTGATAAAGATCATTGTGTAGATGTTAATAATTTAAAATTAATTATACTCTCAAAATGTGGATCTCAAAATGAATTTAACAAAAACTAAAGTAATGTACAACGAACTAGTGGAAAGAAAAAGCATTCTAATAAATTACACAACACTGGAAATAGTAGAAGAATATATATATTTGGGACCACAAATACACAGCTCGGGATTTCTACTACCAGAAATGAAGAAAAAAATTAAGTTATCATGGAGTACTTGTGGAAGAAACTCAATCATATTCATGGAATAACCAAGAGAGACCGTACCATAATTGGAAATGGTTGAACAAGCTGAAAATGGCGATGATGATAAAACAAGTCTCAAATTACAGGCAATTAGATACATATGAGACCGTTAAAATTAATAAATGTAAAGATAATATGAACAAAGATAATGAGACTTTATATTGACATACTTTTCTGTAGACTCTCGTATAGCGTTAAGTGTTAGTGAAAGCGAAAGTACTCCGTACAGCGAGCAGGAAGCAGTACCGCCTGTAAAATATTGCCCAAGATAGATGGTATTATTAGACGACAAACGGAAACATGAAGAAATCTAAAGAGGAAGAAAAACGTTATGAAGGACCTTTGCTAATAGACATTTATCTTTCAGTTTAAGTATAAATAAATATCATGCTATAAAATATATAAACTGTATGCCATGGAAGGATGGCTTGTTTGTGCTCTTGTATCATGAAAAAATAGACAGCTTGAATTAAGTTAGATTTTTGAGGCGACTATCGATCTGTTGTACTGCAATTTTTTTTACATCTATTGTGGTGCTCTTCTGATCCTTAGGTTATAATCTCCGATTCTATCTTTTTTGAAAAGTCTAGCAACATAGAGACTCATCCCTCTACCATTTACTGCATCGGAACACGGGATATATGATATAGGATATTGAAATATGTTGTACTAGACTTTTTTTCCATAGGAACATGTAGCAACTGTTAAAATTGCCTTGTATCTATCAAAAATAGTAGATAAAATAATACTTTAACCGCAATGGTAGATTAACTGATACTTTAACAGCGAGGATAGGTTAAAAACTTTATTTCTTCTCGCACGTTTTTTAATTGTTTCCATTTTTGAAAATTTTTCTATTCCTTTTCATAAGTTATTCGGGATTTAAATGGAAGTAGTTTGGATATGGCGTTTGGCGCCTCAGCCTGATTATCTGTTGGTAATTTACTTATTTCGTTTTGAGCCAGTTCTGGCTCCAATTCAATCAGCAATCGACACGAAAGAAAATTAAAAAATATTGACTCAAAACTGACAACTAAAGAGACAGCTTTATTTATTTGTCAAATTACATAGAAACTAGAGGATTCAATCCCGGGATTTCGAGAAAATAATAACAGATCCCGGGATTTTATATAATATAGTAAAACGCTATTTTTAAGGTTGTATATGCAAAAACTCTCTTTTAATTGAATTCCTTAAGGTGCGTATTGACTATCCGAACAACGAACGAGCGAACGAGCGAACGAATGGAATTTGGTATATTTGGACGGGGATCCGAACGCATGCCGTTCGTTCGTTCGTTTGCTCGACCATCCGTTTCGAGTCGGTACATCAAAGGAGTTCAAAAACGAATGGGTAGATGTTGTTTGTTTAGATTAGGTTAGGTTTGTTGTTCGTTCCGATGTTTTCGTTCGGTTCTAAAATTCGGTCCCGTTCATGCTACTACCGAACGAATCAACGAATGTTCGTTCGTTCGTTCGGATAGTGAATACGCACCTTTATAGCGCGGCCGCCGTGCGCCGCCGACAAGCGATACGTCGGTGATTCCCGGAATAATAAAAAACTTTTGAAACAAGAATTAGCAAACCTCTTAAAACGACTAGATATAACAAGTAAAATCATATTAGATTCTTCAGATATTTCGGAATCGGATGAAGATTTGCCAATTGCTACTATTCAGAACAGGTACCAGGCCTTAAATGATGACGTGTCATTTTCGGAGAGGCTAGATGATGCTTTAACCAAAAAAATGTCAAATCGAATGACAGTGCCACCAGTAACAAAAACTGAAAACTTAGAAGCCCAAATAAAAAATTAAGTGGATACGTTCCAGAAGAGTGGACAACGTGGAACAAACTTACAACCTTTGAATAAGAAGACTAAGGAAGGAGCATATCAAAAATCTTAGGTACACCACGATGGGCCTCAAATATGGGCGACTTAAATTCCGGTTTATCAGTGTCGTTCTAATTTTATTTAAAAAATGTAAAACTATGATGTAGGGTAGACGTGGGGTAGACTCAATAATTTGTTGTTTTATTTTACGTTGTGAATAAATGTTGGTAGTTATTAAAATTATTATAAAAATATATAATTCTAATAAAAATAGATAAGTTATAATAAGTATTTATTAACACAAACATCCGATACGCTACTGAAGCAGGTAAGTCAAATTAACGTATCTAAATTCTTTGAAATCTAATCTTTGACAAGTAATAAATAAAAGCTAAAAATGCAAGAAAAATATATAATTTAGTTAATTTAAGTGAATTTCATAAATGATCGGTTTACTACACGTATGTATATTATATAGTCACTTACTAGCGAAAAGTTGTTCCATTATTTCACTCAATTTTTGCCGAGATCTACCGCACGCTACACAACCAACTATTTTAGAGTCTTTTTCGATAAATCGCGATAGTGTCACTGTTAATTTAAGTTCTGCCACAATTTCCATCTAGATTTACTACCTTTATACAACTATCAGTAGTAGAATAAATAATAAATAACATAAAATAAGCTCCGTAAAGACTGACAAATCCACAAAATTTCAAATCAAATTCAAATGTGTCAAATGAATCGTCAAACAGAACTGTCAAGGATCCCCACCCTAGAGAGCTTTTATGGTGGCTTTTCCGTCCACCATGCATGAATACATGGATAGCATTATGCTCCTTCCTTAGTCTTCTTATTCAAAGCTTACAACTAGCTTTTGATTTTTTAAGTACAATACCGCCTACAAGTGTAGAATCGGAAAGGTGTTTTTCGTCAGTAGGCTGGATAGTTACAAAATTTCGTTCTGCTATGGGAGATGACACAATAGACAATATTATATTTTTGCGCTATTTTTTAAAAAATATGGAATAATCTTATCAGTCCAGTTTCTTTTTTGTTTTGTTTGAGATTTTTAATTTTTGTTTAATGTTGTTTAAGAAGAATATTTACTTATTTTTGTGTTCCAAAGACTGTTTTTGTTTTATCTAATTAACAGTAACTATAATAAAATGTTCTTTGAAAGTAACATTGGTAACATTATTACTGGAGTCCCGGGATTAAATCCCGGGATCCCGAGATTCGGGGTTAAGAATCCCGGGATCCCGAAAACATAAAATTGTCCGGGATTGAATCCCCTAATAGAAACCAACGCCAACCCAGCACAATATTTTTTCTACTCGTAATAAATTCCTTGAAATAATAATTTCTGAATATTTTTTAAAACTAAACTTTAAAACGCTATGGAAAGAAATATTGTTTTATACACGACGATAAAATTGCATTATCGTCTCGTAAATTAATTTTTTCGGTCTACGATAAAATACCATTTTATCGTCTTGTATAAAAAATAACTATATGTATTTGTATTATGTGTAAGTTAAAAAAAACTCTAAAAACTACCCGAAAACTATAGATATCCGACCGAATAACCATCAAATCGACTAAAAATGACTCTGTAACCATCAAAATCGCATACTTTTGCCAGTAAACTTCGATTTTACCGTCTGATCTAGGCGACCTACTTCCCAAACGACGCCGTATAAAAATTGCATAAATAATTCGAGCACCAGACCGATAATTTCGCCGTCGCCGCTCAGTACGACGCTTCGTTTTTTTTTCTCTCTCTCTCCTTATTTACGTGTTTCTCGGATGAGTGCAAAGTGGGTTTTTAGCACACTGGCAGTAGAAATAAGACGCTTTCAGAATCTGTTTCCTATATCGTGGAATATCTTAAAAACCTAGATCATATTATATACTTACGTAGATAAGTAAATCACTATGGAAACTGTCGCAAACATATCAACGACTTCCATTTATTTTCGGTGCTTCGACTCTATCTATCCTTGTCGAGGACCAAATTACCATTAATTTGTGAAATGCATATATTTGAACAATAAATTGAATGTTGACTGTCTCAAAAATTAAATTATATAAAAAATACATTTAGCCGCTCCGTACGAATATCAATATTCTTAAGAAATTTAACCAGAAAGTATGCATGTGGTTTAATATAAATAAAAGAACAACTAAATACTTTACCTGCCTATGAAAAGATAATTCGGGGACTCTTCTATTAGAACTTATGCACACCAAACATTTTCTAGTCATTTTTACGAGTATTTAGAAAGTCCAACGAAAAAAAATAGAAATATAATTGCACAAACTTAAAATTAATTTCTCACTGAACACTTGCATCCTTGGCTATATAAAAGCGGTCGATAAAAGAGTAATTAATACAACTTTTTAAAATAAAAAACGCAAAAAACAAGCGTCGTTACACAATGGAAATAAGATTATGACATGACCAGGGGCGGGAAAGTGAAATAGCAAAAGCGGTTCCACCGTTTCCACCTTTGAATAAGAAGACTAAGGAAGGAGCATATCAAAAAACTTAGGTACACCGCGATGGGCCTCAAATATGGCCGACTTAAATTCCGGTTTATCAGTGTCGTTCTAATTTTATTTAAAAAATGTAAAACTATGATGTAGAATGGGCAGACGTGGGGTAGACTCAATAATTTGTTGTTTTATTTTACGTTGTGAATAAATGTTGGTAGTTATTAAAATTGTTATAAAAATATATAATTCTAATAAAAATAGATAAGTTATAATAAGTATTTATTAACACAAACATCCGATACGCTACTGAAGCAGGTAAGTCAAATTAACGTATCTAAATTCTTTGACATCTAATCTTTGACAAGTAATAAATAAAAGCTAAAATGCAAAGAAAAAATATATAATTTAGTTAATTTAAGTGAATTTCATAAATGATCGGTTTACTACACGTATGTATATTATATAGTCACTTACTAGAGAAAATTTGTTCCATTATTTCACTCAATTTTTGCCGAGATCTACCGCACGCTACACAACCAACTATTTTAGAGTCTTTTTCGATAAATCGCGTCACTGTTAATTTAAGTTCTGCCACAATTTCCATCTAGATTTACTACCTTTATACAACTATCAGTAGTAGAATAAATAATAAATGACATAAAATAAGCTCCGTAAAGACTGACAAATCCACAAAATTTCAAATCAAATTCAAATGTGTCAAATGAATCGTCAAACAGAACTGTCAAGGATCCCCACCCTAGAGAGCTTTTATGGTGGCTTTTCCGCCCACCATGCATGAATACATGGATAGCATTATGCTCCTTCCTTAGTCTTCTTATTCAAAGGTTTCCACGGAAATCTCAAATAAAATAGTTCCAGCCTTAGTCACTAGGTGGTAGTGCAATTAATTTTTAGGTTAAGAAGTTGCTACTAGTTATTGCCAGATGGCGTTAAATCAGAATTTTTTTGTAGTTTCCATAGTTTCCAACGCCATTGTCATATTATTGTCAAATTCTCAAAAAATATTGTCATCAAATAAATGATTATCAAAACGTTTTTCAAACTATAATTTGTTATATGTGTTTTAATTAGACAATTCCTTTTGTTTGTGGCCCTAAAAATATAATGTAAGTCTTTTATTTTTGCCATCATTTAAGTACCTATTTATATTTACTCCATTTACAAAACTTTGGGCGTATTACGTTGGTCTTGTTTTATTATAATAAACGATGTTTAAATATTTCACTGATAAATAAAAACTTTAAATAATAAATAATATTTCACATGTTTGGCCTTAATTTTATTTAATAATTGTATAAATTATACTTTTAAATCTTATTTTTTACACATCACAACGATACTTGTTATTGTATTGTTGAATTTGTGTAAAAAATAAGATTTAATAATCAAATTTAATTATTTTAGAGTAAAATTCAATAAATACGCTCATTTAAAAAGCCCGCGCTTCGATCCGTTTAAAACAAACCCTGCTCAATAGATGGCGCCACTTCTGTAGGACCATTTTTCAGTATGGCAGAGTCCATTCTTTTTCTAGCTAGGTATATTCTTTGGACATGATATAGGATTATGACAATATGATGACAATGAAAAGTTGGTTTCCATAACAATGTATAATTTGTACTTTCTAAACAATATAAAATTGCGATTATTTTAAAAATACGTACAACTTTTAATGCGCATGCGCAAAGTAAGGTCCTCGACAAAGACAAACCTATTGAGCGTTTCACAAGTGCAATAAAGAAGGTTTGAAAATGGCATGTCGTGATGATGGAGACATATTTTTTAATTCTAAACTTATGGCGTTGATTTAAGCTTGATTTTCATGCTTCCGTTGTCCGACGATACGTTGATACGATATTAATTTTATTGGTAGAATTTAAAGACTTTGATTGGTTAGAAAATAACGCAGTTTTTAAATTTATTGCATTTTCATGCCTCCGTTTATCGGATATCCGTTGGTGTCATTTCACATTTTCATTTCCATTACGATTTTGCTATTTTACTTATTTTTTTTATTAAGGTTAGATTAAGTTTGTCAAAAAAGTGTCAAAACGTCCGTTATCGTATGAACGGGTCCGTTGACGGGCTAAAGTAAAATATTTACGGATGAAAAGTGGCGCGAAAACGCTATGACCAATGAGAGCACCGTCGGGCCATCGTATGCATGAAAATCAAGCTTTATCCATGTGAGTATATATGATCTAGGGGAAATACCCTGTCCTCCCTACAACAGGAAAATTCATACATGGGATTGCCTTCTACAGCAGGACTTGAAATTTCTTTAGGCTATTTCATATTTTTCTTTAGATTTTACAGAAATTAAAAATTCCAGTGACCTTAAACAATATCTTCCACAAAGAAAAAGAAACACAGCCTTATGGCATTTGTTAATTTGGTGACACTAACGAATTTTTCAGGAACCGTGTTCCATAACAATGTAAGGCAACTTATAGAAACAGAAAAGAAATTCATAACGAAATTATGAAAGGAAATACAAGCACTAAAGTGTTTATTTTACGCCTACCCTCTCATATCGCTTTCGTTCACATTGTACACTTAATTATTTAATTAAAACAACTCTTTTATATAAATATATATATTTAATAGCTCTATAAAATGTTTTAACAACAATTTATACCGGTACTTAAGCGTTAATGTCCCTATCAAACTTTAGCTACAGTCGTTACTGCTTCATCAGTGTCAGTGCCATTTTTATGACGTCTTCTAGATAAGCTTTTCCTTGCCGATAATAACCTGGTGCTGGACACTCCAAACTGGCTTCCTATTGGTTTATCCAGGTGGAAATCTTCTTTAGAAGTGTCTGGATTCGTGTTTTCATTAGCTGGTACATCTAAAAAAATATATTTGATATCAATTAAACTTTTTTTCCATGGCAACTGTTAAAATTGGCTTATATCTATCAAAAATAGTAGATAAAATAGTACTTTTACCGCAAGGGTAGATTAATTGATACTATAACAGCGAGAATAGGTTAAAAACTTTATTTCTTCTCGCACGTTTTTTAATTGCATCCGTTTTTGAAAATTTTTGTATTCCTTTTCATAAGTTATTCGGGATTTAAATGTAAGTAGTTTGGATATGGCGTTTCTCGCCTCAGCTTGAATATCTGTTGGTAATTTACTTATTTCGTTTTGAGCCATTTCTGGCTCCAATTCAATCAGCAATCGACACGAAAGAGAATTAAAAAATATTGACTCAAAACTGACAACTAAAGAGACAGCTTTATTTATTTGTCAAATTGCATAGAAACCAAGGCCAGCCCAGCACAATATTTTTTCTACGCGGAATAAATTCCTTGAAATAATAATTTCTGAATATTTTTTAAAACGTAACTCGCTATAGAAAAAAATATTGTTTTATACACGACGATAAAATTGCCTTATCGTCTCCCGATCGACGATAAAATACCATTTTATCGTCTTGTATAAAAAATAACTATTAGTTGCTTAATAGCTGTTTATGTATTAATAATTAATTTATTTTTGTTTCCGAAAATATTTTGATTAAAAAAAATTATATAAAAGTGTTCTTTATTTTATTTTACAGAAAAATATGTTTACAGAAAAATCTGAATAACAAGCATGCTACTAGCTAAATTGAATTTTTTAATGTCAAATTGAAGTTGTTGTTGCCAAAAAGAAGTTTAAAAAATCATTTTTAATGTCATATTGACTTTTTACTTGCCAAAAATAATTTGTAAATATGAATTACACCACTAAAGAAAAAAAAATATTGTTTAGTGGTATTGTGAAGGAAATAATCTATAAATATCTAATTGAGATTAATTAAAGTTAAAGAAATTGTCGTTTCATCAAAAGAATAAATTTTTGAGAAATTATTATAATGTATTACCATCTTCTGTTTCGTCTTCTTCTTTCAAGCTTTGCTTCTTCTGTATCCTCTCGAAAACTTGGCTCAAATGTTTCTCGAATTTACTCATATCTTTCACTTCTTCAAAACTAGTATGAGCCACCCTTAACTTGTCTTTATCTGTTTTAGCTAAGGCAGTTCTTAAGAGGTAGCACAAAGATGTATCGGTAACATCTTCCCAAGACTAAAAAGGAGCAAAACTTATTCAGTAATTTATACTGTACTAAAAAGAAAAGAAAATGAGTTAAAAATGATGCCCAGTTTTTGCATTTAAGCATTCTTCAAGTTTTAATCTACGACAATGTCATTATGACACATTTAACATTGTCATTTGGATGTCATTATGGCTTGGTTGGCACCAGGGGGGTGACAGTAAACCGGAAAATTGGAAACAGTTGTGGCGCGGTTCTACCCAGGCAGAAAGCATGGGCTTCTAGACAGTCCTAGACAAAAATCTGAATATTTCTATATGATTTCTGTCAATTTCTGCTACGGAACATTTTTATGCACGTCGGCGTCCTGTTCTTTTGTCTTTTGTCTGTGTGTCAGCGTCAGCTCCCGAGGCCTCTGGCAAGGTCGGGCGCCATTTTAATTTTTGCCGTTTAGATTTGATTGGAAGTTTGTTTCTGATATTTCGACTGAAATTTATAAGTACAAAGATGTTTTTTGATATAAAGTTCCTTACTTGTTCCTTAATAAAGTATATATGATATTAATTACATGAAGAAAATGATGAAATCGACGTTTCTGCGTGTAGTAGGTATGGGCCATATTATATGTAAAAATAGGTAATATATTAACTGTTTTTATATTTTTTTAGCCCAAGAAAGAAGGTCTTTAAACCCAAGGATCTTGGGATATTCTTTGCAAAGGATTTTTCCGTATCTCTACTTTAAAGACTGATCGGTGATTTTGAGAAATTGAAAGCAAGTTATACAAGGTAAATTATGATTATTGAACTATTATTAGCCTACATTAATTTTCTACAAGATGAACAGAAATGCGTAATTACATATCACATAGGTACCTATTATGTATTTTCATAGCAATAATGCTATAAATCTATGTATGTAGATTATTTTTAAAATACAAATGAGGTATTAGATGTATATGTATTATATTTTTTATTCATTTTATTTACATTCAAGTCCTGTTTGATTTAATTCACAAAAGTCTTATGTACCTATATTTATATTTTTTACATATTTTTTTTGATTCCAGGTTTTGTGTGGGTTCCGGTTGCCTTTTTCCTGCTTCCAGTTATTTAGTTTTATGTCCGTGAAGCTGTGAAAACATTTATTTATCTTCAAGTTTCTGTAAGTCAATGCACTGTTACTTTACTAATTCGCTTTAACACAGCATCTCTGATATTATTTAAATATTTGATATTGATACAGTAGTTTATTGGATTATAGCTCTTTAATTGTGTTGATTTGCATATTTACATTGTTCTAAATTCCAAATAAATATTTTTGAGTAATTTTGTTGTATTATTTACTACTAGAAAGAGTAAAAAGTATATTAACCCTCATTTAAACCTACTGAACAGCCCGCCATTAAAAACCGGAAAGGGAAATAAATTTCATAAAATTGAAATTGTCATGTCTATGTCATGTCAATTGTCCCAGCCGCCATATTTGAAAATTAGTTACCCAGGCAGCCACGCTGTTTCCATAATTTAACATTGACTTGACACTTCTTCTTGTATTTATTATTTTATGGTTGGCACTAGTGCTATTATGAATTCATAATAACACGCAAATTTTAAAATAAGAAACAAGCAAAAAAGGTACCTAAATACGTTTATTTATTGTAAACATTAATTATAATATCAGTACAATTGGTTAAATTAATTCCAGACGATGACAGGTGAGTCGAATTTTTAGAAAGTAAATTTATTTCCTGAGTGCTTGAACTTGTTGAAGACCCATCATTGCCAGAAATGTTATCCAAAATATTACATGACAGTTATTCTTATTTTCTTTGGAATTTTCTATATAGCTCTCTGCCACTGTGTTAGAGCGCCAACCACCATGTCTTTTAACAGTTAATAAATCCACTCCTGAATCTGCAAGCAACGACGCAGACGATCTACGGTAACAATGTCCGGTGTATTGTTGTGGATTTGGAAGGCTTAGGAACAATGCTATTTTATACGGCATAAGTATTTTGGCATATTTCACATTTGGTGAAAATGAAGAGTAAATTTTAAATTTCGATAACAGCTACCTAAATTTTAGTTGACCTTGTATAACCTGATATTTAATTACAGTAACCATTGTATGTTAAACTAAATTGAAATTTGACCCGAAAAGTTATACAGGGTGAGACAAAATTAATATGGAATATTAGTCACTTTTAAAAGCAAGTTACTGCTCTATTTTAAATGGGACACCCAGTATATTTTTCCGGTGTTCAATGGGGAATTTAGACAGAAGAGACAGAATTCTCCATTGAATATCGGAATAATATACTGGGTGTTTTACCATTACCATTTAAAATAAAAGAATAAAATACTTTTGAAGGTGACCAACGCTCAATATTAAATTTGTCTCACCCTGTACAACTTTTTGGATCAAGTTTTAATTTGATTTAAAGTACAATAGTTAATTTAACTACATATTAGACTATACCGGGTAAATTCCAATTTAAAATTGTTAAAAATTGTTTTTTGTTTCTAGGAAATGTTAAATATGGCAAAAACCTTACATTTTAGTCATATACCTCTCTTATAAAACTCACCTTTATTTTTATCCCAGAATCCGAAAATCAATTAATATATAGGGTGTTCTATTACAAAAGTAACAACTTTGATATGTAACTTTTTTGAGGACACCCTGTACCCCTGATTTTCCCTACATATGCTCACAAAATTACTTTTCAATACAAACTGTCGTTCTCCTTGGAGCCTCCGCGGCGGATGAGAGGCGCCACCCTGTACAATCTACATATACGAGGCATGTTTTTTAAGTAAGTACCGTTTTGGACTTAAAAAAACGTGTAAAGATATCGCAATAATTTTATTTTTACATGAAAGCCTGTACCTTAATCTACTTTTCTACATAATTTCCGTGAATATTGAGGCACTTGTCATAACGTGGCACCAGTTTTTCAATACCCTCCTCATAAAATTCTGCCGCCTGACTGGTTAACCACTGTATCACAACTGTTTTGACTTCGTTATCGTTTTGAAGACGCTGACCGCCCAGGTGTTTCTTCAAGTGCAGGAATAAATGGTAGTCACTGGGCGCCAGATCAGAGCTGTATGGAGGATGATCTAGAGTTTCCCATTTAAAAGATTTGATGAGATCTTTGGTCCGATTAGCCACATGTGGACGGGCATTGTCATGCAGCAAAACAATACCCTTACTCAACTTGCCACGCCTTTGGTTTGGGATTGCACGGCGCAGATTGTTCAGTGTCTCACAATAAGATGCTGCATTGATTGTCTCATTACGAGGCAGAAACTCCACTAGCAATACTCCTTTTCTGTCCCAAAAAACTGTGCACATGATTTTCCGGGCAGAAATTGTTTGCTTTAAACTTCACTGTTTTGGGTGATGATGAATGTCGCCATTCCATGGACTGTTGTTTCGATTCTGGTGTGACGTAGGCCACCCATGTTTCAAGTCACCAGTAACAATTTTGTCTAAAAAATCTTCACCTTCATTGTGGTACTGCTCAAGGAAAGTCAATGCACTGCCTAAACGTTGGGTTTTGTGCAAATCCGTCAACATTTTCGGAACCCAACGTGAACACAATTTCCGGTAATTCAAGTTCTCGGTCACAATGCGATGCAAAACACTACGAGAACATTGAGGAAAGTAGTCGCACAATGATGAAATTGTAAAGCGTCTGTTTTCTTTCACCTTTTCGTCCACTTTCTGCACCAAACCTTCATTAACGACCGAAGGACGCCCACTCCGTTCTTCATCATGCACATTTGTGCGGCCATCTTTAAATGCTCTCACCCATTTCCTTACCATTCCATCACTCATAATGTTTTGTCCGTAAACTTCACAGATCTCACGATGAATATCGATCGGGTTTACGCCTTTAGCACTAAGAAATCGTATGACAGCCCGTACTTCACAATCGGCGGGGCTCACGATTGTAGGAGGCATCTTAAACACTCAATAAACAACGTATACGATGAAGAATCAGACTGTACTGGCGTCTGTGCATAGACAAGAGATGTAGGTAACCAGCGCGCATGGGCGGAACGCCGACCGTAGCGCTGCGGCGGCGGAATCGCAAAACGGTACTTACTTAAAAAACATGCCTCGTACATCTACCTCTTATAGTATTACTAGTGGAAATACCTGTGTTTCTAAATCGTATACTCTCGTACAAAAAGTCGAATTGATCATTTCCATCAACCCACTACCAATTTCCATCATACCAATTAGTTGTTTCACCAAATGCACCACACAGGACAAATCAATCTGTGCTTTTGACAGGTTATCCATCTCATTTTCCAGCTGTTCAGTAGCTTCCAAAATATCCGTATAAGTATCATCAAGCAACAACTCCAAACTCTTCAAACTTGATGGATTCTTTGCTCTGTATTTCGCGATTAGTCGTTTTTGTATTAGCCTGTACTGTGAACTAAGCTGCGATATTTTATTCTACAAAATTATAAAAATATTCATTAACGTTTCCCTACTCACTAAATTATAATCAAATGAATCGTCAATCTTCTTTAAAATTTTTATTCAATCATTTTATCTCAAATGCAATGATGTATCACAACACCCTATTAAACACCCTGTATATAATATTACTAGCGTGTACCCGCGACTTCATTCGCGTCGAATTAATCATTTGTAATGGTGATGATAAAGCAAAGCAAGAATTTCCATTAACATACAAACTGGATAAAATTTTCTCCCATTTATGTCAGCATGAGAAAAAACAATAGACGATATTATATAACTTGGTAATATTTGAGGGGTAGTTTCATCTCGTTGGAATTTGACTTTCGAAAAATCCGTTTGCCAAAAATAAGCTTTTTACGTCAAGCAGTTTAAGCAGAATCGTGGTTAAGAAATTACCCAAATTTTTGGAACACCCTGTATGATTTTCTAAAAAAATTCAAAATATGTAAAAATACAAAATAAATTATGCGTGTCCAAGGGTTTTCCCGAAAGACTAACCGTTTTTTAAATAACAAATATTGTAATATTTGAGGGGCGTTTTCACCCTCTTGGAATTTGAGATTCGAGAAACCCCTCCTTATCGAGCCTCCACACCCCACAGTCAATCCGTTTGCCAAAAATCAGCTTTAAACGTCAAGCAGTTTAAGCAAAATCGTGATTACTCAATGGTCATATTTTATGAAACACACTGTATAAATTTTTAAAAAATATTAAAATATGTAAAACAACAAAATAAAATATACGTGTCTAAGAGTTTTTCCGAAAAACTCACCGGTTTATAAATACAAAATATTCTAATATTTTTGATGAGTGGTATCACCCCCTTCGAGACCCCTTATAGAATTTGAGTTTCGAAAAAACCCTTCTTATCGAACCTCTACACCCTAAAGTCAATCCGTTTTCCAAAAATCAGCTTTTTACGTCAAGCGCTCTAAGCAGGATCATGATTAATCAATGACCTAATTTTTCGAAACACCCTGTATACATTTTTAAAAAATTTTAAAATAGGTAAAAAACAAAATAAAATATACGTGTTTAAGCGTGTTTTCGGAAACTTGAACGTTTTTAAATAAAAAAAAATTGTAATATTTGAGGGGTGGTTTCACCCCCTTGGAACTGGAATATCGAAAAATCCCTTCTTATCGAACCTCTACACCCTAGAATTAACCTGTTTGCCAAAATTGAGCTTCTTACGTTGAGTGGTTTGAGCAGGATCGTGATTAATCAGTGAGTCAGTCACTTAAGGATTTTATACAGGGTGTTTCAAAACAAATGCGAAAAACTTCAGGGGGTGATTCCTTGTTCAAAATAAAGGGTAGTTTGCTTCATAAACGTTGGGTCAAAAGTCAACCATTAGGGAGATATCGCGGTACAAAGATGGCGGAAAATAATGTTCTTATTTTTTATCTTGAAAACGAAAAGAGATAGACTAATGAAATTTTATGGAAGCATTACTGTTATGAAAACACACTTTCTGGTAATTTTTTCACTTTTTTAAAATGAGTGGAAGGTGTTGAAATAAACTACCCCTATCATTCTTGTTAACGTAATTTAAAGAAAAATCTTATCAAACATATGCAAAAAAATTAATTTGGATAGTTTAGTTTGTTTAGAAACTTTTTTATCTCTTGTATTTTTTTTATATAACTCACCGATTTGAAATTAAAAAATAAAATGTAAAGCATTACATGTCAGGACTAAAAATATTTGTGATAATAATCTAGATAATAATCTAGTGATAATAATGATAATAATAATAATCTAGATAATAACGTATTGCAGTAGGGTAATGTCAAATAAAACAATATTAGAAACATCCTAAAAAGTGACAGCGGCTGACTAGATTTTTTCCTAAAAAAATTACAGCTGCCCACTAGATTCTTAATCTAAAAATGTTTTTTGTCCTGACATGTAATGCTTTACATTTTATTTTTTAATTTCAAATCGGTGAGTTTTATCAAAAAAACACAAGAGATAAAAAAGTTTTTAAATAAACTAAACTATCAAAATTATTATTTTTTCCATGTGTTTGATAAGATTTTTCTTTAAATTTCATTAACAGGAATGATAGGGGTAGTTTATTTCAACCCCTTCCACTCATTTTAAAAAAGTGAAAAAATTACCAGAAAGTGTGTTTTCATAACAGTAATGCTTCCGTAAAATTTCATTAGTCTATCTCTTTTCGTTTTCAAGATAAAAAATAAAAACATTATTTTTCCGCTATCTTTGTACCGCGATATCTCCCTAATGGTTGACTTTTGACCCAACGTTTATAAAGCAAACTACCCTTTATTTTGAACAAGGAATCACCCCCTGAAGTTTTTCGCATTTTGCAAACACCCTGTATATTAGTATAGATTTAAGTATAATTTTATACAAATAAAGATTTATTACTGAAAAAATAATTGATAAAAAACTGATATATTGCTTACCTGTAAGCTATTTACTTCTTGTTTTACCAAAAAATGCTTTTGACTGTATTCAAAGATTTCACCCGCTGGTAAGCTAGAACTAAAGGAGACCCGGTACGTCTCGTTTTGACTGTAGTATTTTTTTAACCTCGAAACAAGCTGTTCCACGAGCAGACTTAAAGTTGTCAAAGATTCAGCTTGAAGTCTATATCTTTCTGATGATTTTCCCAAAAGTATCGTCCCAGTTTTTCCAGCTGGACTCTTGAAAGCTATAGAGTTCGCTGATGTCCCTTCGTGGGTGTATTCTGTAAAAATAAATATAGAGAGTAAACCACTGTTTTATATCACACAGTTTATATTATGCATGTCATTATGGAACACCCTGTATATTTATACTAACTTTACCTGAAAATAATGTTGGTAAAGCTATAGGTGCTTCACTTGTACTTAAAGTAATTTTATGAGTATTTTCCTTTTCTGGAATGCTGGGTTCCATAATCAGGCTCATCGGTAAAAAGGTAGTTCTGGATAAGGCTCTTGGTACTCCCAAGGAGGATATTACGGATAGCTTTACTTCCAAAGCTAGTGTTGGCACTTCGGTAGATTCATCGGGGAAAACGTAACAGGTTATTGATGTTTTTTCAGACAGATTGCTAAAAATGTACCGGATTAAGTAATTTTAAGAAAAATAGAGAAAAATTATATATAATTTTATAATCCTTTGTTTAAAAATTGGTCATGAAAATTGGTCCACTAGAACAAGATAGAGGGTGAGTTTTCTACGACGTTCTCTATGTGTATCTGTATCTCAGAAACTACTGAAGATAGAGAGTCAGTTAAATTGAAAAGAATTGCAGTTTTGTGGGATCATAAATATGCATCTTTCAGATTTTTGAAAACGTTCATAGCTTACTAGATATTTCGAAAAAAACAAATTTAGGCTATTTTAAAAATTGTCCCTAATTCCATTATAATCTATTTTAGATAAAAAGTTTTCAGATAAAAGTTGTAGATAATCACATCCTTAATGAGAATGTGTGATCCTTTTTTTTCTAAAGCCTGTCATTTTTGACATACGACACAAATACATGTTTTTTTAAATGGAAATCATAGTTGGCCATGACTTCATAAAAAGCGTCATTTTGAAAGCTTTTCAGCGTTATAAGCTATAATATATTTGAGTTAAAGCCAATTCTTATCATTTTTAAACAATTTCACTTAGTTAGCCATGGAAACAAGTTCAATCGTCGTTGTTCTCAGAAATGTGAAACTGTCACATCCAAACTTTGTAAATTAAAATAGACAAAAATTGTAAATATGAATTTTTCAAATGAAGAAAAACGTGTAGGATTATTGGTTCAACTTTTCTTGGCCATACATTTTTGAGGATACGTTGGCCGGTGAACGTTACTAACGTTTTTTTAGAGAACGGTTTTCAAGACATGTTAGGAAAGTTAAATTTAGAGATTTTAACTCGCGCATCAATAAGGTGGTTCCAACATGACTTGTATTATGATAAATGAGAATAATTATTACATACTCATCGCAACTTTATTGGACTACTTTGAACGGAAAAGCGGTAGTAATGGCCCTTTATGTCTCCTAAGTGCTGTTAAGAAAGTGAGTGTTACGAAAGGGACGCTGTGGCTTTCCAGCTTAATCACGTGTAACTAAATGTTTATTTGGTATGAACTGTATATTAACAGTCTTGAATACACTAAATGTTTTTACTGAGTTTCTCTAAAACTTTCTTTCTTTCTATAAAACTAACAACATAAAACGATCCATTACGAGTTTTATTTTAAAAAAGTGTGAAGGTGAACTTGCGTAAAATCCTTTTAACTTCTTTTCTTCCAGTTTTCGCATAAAATTGCGGAAAACTTACTGGATTCCCCTGTCAGATGATCTATTTGGGTTAAGCTTCCGAGCAGCCTCTATGCACTGGAAGTCGAGGAATTTACCACCTGTGGCAACTTTAAATATGGCACCTCATTTATCAATTTTTATAACATAGAAGAGGAGCACGAGTGCTATAATGTAATGTAAATGTTTCATAAACCGTTTTTTTGGATTATACAGTATCTTACTTTATAATATTAAATAAATGTATATGTTGGAGGCCAGATGCCGAAAATTAGACATATGGCGATTATAATTAAATATACCTACCAATATCCACAAAGTTACGCGAAAGAGTTTTGATTGCATTGGTTTCAACTTCAATGCGGAGGGTGTTAATCTTTTGTTGCTATATGATACCAAAAAAAGATTATCCCCTGGCAAGTTTAGTATGGACAAATCGCCATATGTCTAATTATTTTGGACATTGGCCGAAATTCGCCTCCTCTATCTGCCTCCAACATATATAATAATAGGTCTTATTTACCTGTAGAACATACTATTTGGTACTATCTTCAATGGTCTCTGTACAAGCAAAGCTAGTTGAGCTTCCTGAATTGAAACTTGAGGAACAATATCTATTGTTACACAGCACATGTAATTATTTGCCGCATTTTTCATATTATGCTCATAAACACATATTTCTATACTCTCATTCACAGTTAAGTTCAGTTGTAGTTCTTTTTCTATATTAGTTTGAACAGCTACATCTGAAAAAAGATATTTTGTTGTTATTTATTTACTTTTTTGTACTTGATAACAACTTGTGACATACAAGTAGAATACTTTTGTAAATGTTTCATATACCGTGCTGGCAACTGTTACTTTTGGGTCGGCATTTACATGTGTGGAAGTAAATCGCATAGGGACCTTATCAAGTCTGAGTGAGAGAAATGCGACCGACCGACGCGACGCGCGACGGTGTGCTGTTGCGGCGTTGCCGATATAGGCCATTCCCTATCAAGTAAAGTAAAATCACGATCGCAAACCGCTTATTTTTAAAATACATTTTTTTAAAGAGATAACTAGATAAAATCATTAGACATGTTTCTGAGCATCTGAAATGGAATTATAAGGATATCGTTAGGGTGTCATTTATTTTATAACGAGAAAACGTCAGTAATCGCGATAAATTAAAAACTCAACTTTTTAACACATAACAGGCCATAACTCAAGAACCACTTTAGATATTGAAACTTTTTTTTATTTTCAAGATCTGATATTTTACAATATTGTTGCGGGCCGGTGTGGACTCGACCTAACCTCACAATATGGCCCGCCCTCGGATGACCTTAACATCGCATAGACACCGCAATGATTCATTCGTTCGAGAAGAATCGAGTCCCACTGGAATGGCCTAGTACATACGAGAACATTCGAAAACCTTCTCTACGCACCTAACGATCTATGGACAATTCTAGAGTTCTTTACCTGTCGGTATAAAAGCCGGCGGCGGTGGCCTACAGGGGGCAGTTATAAATATACCAGTGCAGTTGACGCGCTAAAATTCAAAATAAATTCTTAGTTATAAATCGTTTGTAAATAGTTCTATAAGTCTTTTATCGTTATTGTTTTTGTTAATTAGTGTTAAATAAACAGTGTTTAAATAAATTGTGACGTTCTATCCACACGGAACCGACGAAAAACGTAACAATTGGTGTCAAGTGTGGCGTGTGTGATAGACAAAAAAAAAATAAATAAGACTGACAATGACTTCGAAAAAATTGTTGAAAGACTTGAAAGTGCCCGAACTGAAATGCATATTGGAAGAGAGAGAGTGCGAGACAGATGGAAAGAAAAGCATTTTGCAAGCTAGACTGAGAGACGTTTTGGTGGAGGAAGGTGAGGATCCTGACACATTTTACTTCGAGCTGGAAGGTGACCTTGACTCGTCATTGAAAAATTTGCAAGACAATTTAAACAGCAATTTGAATAATTTAGAAGATAAAATGATGAAAAATTCCCAGGATTTAATTAATATTTTAGATGATAAGATCGCAGAAAATTCTAAAGACATACAGGCCAGCTTTAATAATAAAATACTTAATTTAGAAGAAAAGATAACAGAAAATTCCAGGGAATTAGAAGAGAAGATAACAGATACACAAGACAAAATAACAGAGATTGAGGAAGATGTAAATAGAAAAATCGAAAATTTAAGAGAAGAAATAGTGAAGTCAAATTCACCAAAATGTCAAGAAACATCGGAGGGACCGAAACTAGTCGAAAATAGGTATACCTCAAAGTCAGTTATTAAGCCTCCACAGTTTGACGGAAAAACCGCTTGGGCCAATTATTTTTGCCAGTTTGAGGCCGCTGCGAGAGCAAACGGTTGGACAATCGCTGAAAAGGCTACCGCTTTGACTGTCGCACTGCGAGGAGATGCGACTGATATCCTGCAGACACTGTCACCATCGGAACAGGGAGATTATCAGCAATTGGTACGACATTTAGAAATGAGGTACGGCAAGTCTTTTATCGTTATTGTTTTTGTTAATTAGTGTTAAATAAATAGTGTTTAAATAAATTGTGACTTTCTATCCACACGGAACCGACGAAAAACGTAACAATATGTTTACATAAGAAAAATTCGATAAGGTTGTTTTTTCCATTCAAAAATTGTAAACAATCCATCCATTTACTTTTAGAGCATAGCAATTTTTAGCAATCGTGTAATTTTTTTATTGATGAAGATTTTCACATACTGTCTACAAAGAAAATACAGCAGAAATATTAACAAAGAAACTACAATCTATTATTTCTAATAGATTTCGAGATATCGATTTTTGAATTCAGAGTTCTAATAGCGCGACCACCCACTCAATTCCACTTATTTTTACCAAAAATGCAAGTGTTTCTAGCTTGCACTTAAAAAAAATCAAGCTATATAGAAAATTACGACGTTAATAAATAAACAAATTAAGTATCACGAGACGTAATTAAATCGTGAAGCTGAACGCATGATGTACACCTTTCCCTAGAACTTTAAGTACCTACTGACAGAGGTACTGATTGGGTCGGCCGCTCGACTACGACAAAAGCTTTGTTCGGGTTCTTGTTATTACCGATTCTGAACCGTCCTAGAACTGTGATGCGTATGCGCAGAAGGAAATATGAAGACATTATTTCATTTGCGCATGCGCTGCAGGGTTCTAGGACGATTCAGAATCGGTAATAACAAGAACCCGAAAAAAGCTAAATCTGCTATATCCCCTTCCACGTCTCTTAGCAATATGTGCACAGTTTCTAGGTTTATTTCATGTCTTTGGCAACGTGTTTACTGTTCCCTCTTTGTTCGGTACATTATAAAACGCATTGTACTCTTCTTACATACGGAAATCTCGACCCAAGACTAAGCTTTGCCAGCCGTTAGTAGAGTAATCTATACTAATATATAAAATCCTTAAGTGACTGACTCACTGGATTTAATCACGATCCTGCTCAAACCACTCAACGTAAGAAGCTCAATTTTGGCATACAGGTTGATTCTAGGGTGTAGAGGTTCGATAAGAAGGGATTTTTCAAAATTCCATTTCCAAGGGGGTGAAGCCACCCCTCAAATATTACAATATTTTCTATTTAAAAAACGGTCAAGTTTCCGAAAAAACCCTTAAACACGTATATTTTATTTTGTTTTTTTACATATTTTAAGATTTTTTAAAAATGTATACAGGGTGTTTCGAAAAATCTGCTCATTGATAATCACGACCCTGCTTAAAGCGCTTGACGTAAAAAGATGATTTTTGGAAAACAGATTGACTTTAGGGTGTAGAGGTTCGATAAGAAGGGATTTTTCGAAACTCGAATTCTAAGAGGGTGAAACCACCCCTCAAATATTAGAAATTAAAAAGATTTAGTTACTTTTCACTCACCATTGTTATTAGTGGTCCTAATAACATCCTCCAATTCCAGCAATTCTTTCTCCAACTTCTCATAATCCAGTTCTTGTACATTTAAAGGTGGAGCAACAAATAAGCAAGGTTCTGTTCCCAAATAAGCGCATTCTAAGCGTCCTTCTTCACTTAGTAACACCAGAGTACCCTTCATTGGTTTCAAGAAGGCCCTGTGAATGGTTACTGGAAGAAAGTCAAGATGTGCTGACCATTTGAGGGTGGTACCTTGGTAGATTAGTAACATGTTGATTTCTGAGACGATCAGAGTAAATAAATAAGAATCTACAAGATTAAATAGGAAAATTAAAAAATAAAGACAATTAAAAAATTATGTTAAACTTATTATTTTCCATTATTTATTATAGGAAACAAAAATAATTATTAATATGTTTAAAAAATTGAGTAAATTGGTTTTTTAAAAGTGAAATTAAAGACAGCTAAAAAAGTATCAAGTATACTCTTTTGCTTTTGTGAACAGTACAAAGATTTGTATTGCATACATTACAAATGACATCAAAATTGGATTATTCTTTTTTAATAGAAGAAGTGTATTTCAAATTATTTTGTATTATTCCAAATTTGTGTCTAGTGTTGTTACTTTATTGGTTGTTACATTATAACCGAAATAGGTCCAATTATGACCCCACTAGCAAAACCGGTGATTAAAACTATGATCGATACCGTAGTTGAACTCATCTAAAAAGTTTTTTTAGATGGAATAATACATTTAAAGACAAGTTAGACCTTCCGAAGATACCAAAATATTTACTTTTTTATTTGTATTTTCAGAATTTTAACAAATTATACTTTCTAACACTTTTAGAATAGCAGATATATTCCTAATGAATCATATCATAGTATTGAACATAAAATGGCTAGTTTAAATTTCTTAGTTCATAGATTACTTAGTTTTCCACTTTCCAACCAAAGATATGAAATAGAAAGAGATTACATTAGGAATGTAGCTGAGTGTAATGGATATTCTCCTTCACTAGTTGATAAAATAATTAGAAAATGTAGGTATAGGTTAATGATTTCTGAAAATTCGACTTTTCAGGTGGAGAAAGATACGTCAAAATATTTTTCAATACCGTTTGATAGACAGTTTTCCCGTGGTCTAAAAGGAATTTTTAAGAATGTCAATTATAAACTTGTGTATAGTACTAATAATAAATTACAACAATTATTAGGTAATCCAAAGGATAAAACACCTCTACTAGAAAGGTCGGGTATTTATGAAATTTCTTGTAAAGATTGTAATCAGAAATATATTGGGCAAACTAGAAGATCTATATTAACTAGATTTAAAGAACATTTAGCTCAGATAAAATATGGTAGACCGGATAAATCTTGCGTTGCCGAACATATTGTTGATAAAGAACATTGTATAGATCTTAATAAATTAAAATTACGTAAACAAGTCTCAAATTACAGACAATTAGATGCATATGAAAGCATCAGAATTAATAAATGTAAAGATAGTATGAACAGAGACAACGGTCCAATTCCTTCAAGTTCTTTGTTCCTACTACTCTAGTGGCGGAAATCTAACTGTTACGCTCGGTGGTTTCTGACTCGGTTGGCTAGATCTTGCCACGCCCACTCTGAGCGAGTATATAAACGCTCCAATTGTAGATTGTATTTTAGTTTATAATCATCTGCTGATGATGCTAACATGGTTAGCGAAACGCGCGTCCAGTGTAAAAGTAAAAGTGTTTTGGTGTATAGTGGTGATTTAGTGTTTTTATTTTGCTGTGTAACACCAAAGCTTCCAACCCTCAACTGTAAACTTATCAGTTGTTTACGATATTCTCCGACGGTGGCAGCACCGGCGGAGAATGGCACTAAGCTTATAAATATCCCCAAAAGGTTTTAATATAATAACGATTGATATTTTAAAAATAAAAACGAAATCACTGTAACTACCTAAAATGTAGCATCGAAAACAAACTGGAGGATAGTCTAATCTCTTCATAAATCTTAAACTCCCTCTGTGGTTAAGGGAGTAGAGATTTTTCTCCCCCAAAATCGTTAACCAAGCTTCCTTGTTAATGATGTCGTTTATTACTGTCAAATCGATAATTGATTCTCCTAAATTATAGGTCCAGTCTGGCACAACTTTCGGTTTCGAATAGATAGGATCGACTGACTCGTCTGAGGCTTCGGAAAGTGATTTATATCTGTAAATATACACCAAAAACGTTTTTTTTTAAGTTTCCTCCTATAATAAAATATAATTTTCATCTTTTAATTATACTATTACAGGTCCGGCAATAGTGCGTCGGGCATCTGTACCAGAAGACTGCACGGAAATATTATTATTTTCTGCCGCTTGTTGCCGGTTTTCTTCCAAATTAATAATTTTTCAGATGAAATCCCTCAAATTCAAGGCACAATATTTTAGTTTCTATAAGATATAGTGTTTTAGTGTAGTTTTTCCACACGTGCAGAAAATCCAAAGAAATAGTATACAGACTGGATCAAAGGTAAACTTAAATCTAATCCCTTTTTTTATCAAGGGTCGATTCTAGTAAAAACTCAAAACATTTTTATATGACATACCTACTCTATTTATAGTTGGTATGATACCTGTTATTATACCTTTGAGTTTCGATGTTAAAAAATAAAATAAATAACATTTAAAGTTTTTCTACAACCACTTGTTTTTTTTATTAAATTAGTTTTTTAGTTGTATTGTAGTCATGTACAAGGAGGACAACTCTATTTTAAATATTATATTTAATTTAACGTTTTTCAAACAAGGTTCATTGGACTATATTTCTACTAGGTACATTATTTTAAAAAAAATTAAGAAAGTAACTTAAACATTCATAAAAATAGAAGTAATTACTGTTGTAGATTCTTCGTTATATTGTAAACATTGAAATAACTGAAAGCTAAACTTTCTACATGCTTATATTTAGAGCCAGTGTCTGACGACTTTTTTTTACGATGGCCCTAATATGTTTACTTCTAAAGTCGATAAGGGCGCCATATCAGTAGAAAAAAGAAACAGAATATCTCCCTTTTTGTCGGTCGCGCGTACACAATGCTTTTTGTTCGGCCTATTTGTTCTGCTTGTTCGTGCGCGCTCGGTTCGTTCGGGCTAAAATGCCAAAGTCTGGACGCACCTTTAGGAACAATACTGTTTTTGTCCTTTATTGATATAATGCTGAAAATCTCACGAGTTACATGGCTCACTCTACACATATTAAATTACATAGACGTAGGATGTAGAATATTCTGTTATGAAACGACTGATGGAATAGCAGGCATCGCGGATTTGAAAAACATGGAAATAACGGGGTTGGAGATTTTACTTGTTCCATTTACCACACCAGTATTTATTAACGAAAAATCCAAGAATATTTTAAATGCATTATTTAATATTACAACATTTAATAGGCTCATGAATAGCAACTTCGCTTTTTAGTTAACTCGGATATTTCAACATTTCTGAAACAATATTTTCTAATTGGTAAAACGTAAAAAATTGTTAGATTTGACAACTCTGTTGAAACTGGTCGTTCATCTGGCCGCAGCTATAAACGCAATACATCCGGCCAGCCGACGGCCAGGTCGTTGCGACCTGGTCGTCAGTGAGTTCGAGCCCTTAAACAAAATTCCCAAGTTTTTTATTCTAGGAGCTACAGATGCCCGACGCACTTTTGCCAGACCCTGTACAAGTACAAGTATGTATTTTTATACAAGACATCCTGTATGTATTTTAATTTTAAAATTTTCTCTATATCATCAAAAATTTTTATTTATTTAACGTGTTTTCAAACATATCTGAATAAGCTGTAAGAAACTCACTTATAACAAACGATATGCCAATCAGAACTACAAGTAACAAAGCTGTCAGTCTTGGCAATGTAAGAAATGGGACATGGCATTAAAAAATCCGTCAAAGCCACGTAGGAAACTTGACTTTCCTGTTCGAAAAACGTCAACAACCCATCAAGTGATTGGACACAAATGAAGTCACGGTTTTGTGATGATCCAAACGGACCTATGACTAAATTGTAGGCACTTCTTCTTAGCTTGTGTTCGTAGACGAGTTCTAGGTAACTTTGGTTGCCTGAAATAAAACGCATTAAAGTTTGTAAACTGTATGTATGAAGAAATAAAGTTTTTAACCTATCCTCGCTGTTAAAGTATCATTTAATGTACCCTTACGATTACAGTACTATTTTATCTACTATTTTTGATAGATATAAGGCAATTTTAACAGTTGCTATGGAAAAAAATTAATCATTATATACTAAAAAAAACTTTTCACTGTAAAAAATGCATCAATTTTCATTTCAAAGACCATGTGGCGTCGTTTTTTTCTTTCGATCATACAATATAGGTATACTTAAAAATCTATTACAAGCTCTACACACGTGTTTTAAGAGTACTTGATAAAAGTGATTATGTTTATTTTTAGGTACTCATGTAATTGTACCAAGCTTTCTATTAATAAATGGGTCTATAGGGCCTCTAAATTCGACAGTAGTTATCAATCTGGCAGTGCTTGTGGTTTAAAAAACTCGAATAGTGTTTTAATATTTATTTTACCTACACAAAAGTAAGTGGCAACAATATTATTCACCTCCTGTTTTTAACAACAATTATTTTCATATTATTAGGAAAATACATACTGATAGAGCAACATAACTTTTCACCAGCTCTGTTTTATTAAGCAATTTGCTCAAAATCGACATATTTCTACTTATTCTCAGTTTTTTGAAAATAAAACACACGATATTTCGCTCCAGAGCCAGCAAAGAGAATATATTATTATATTTTATAAAATACTTTTCTCTCAAAAAAATCTTCATTTAAAAAAGTTCCTTTTTTATAGAGGAGAATTTCTAAATGTGAAGAAAATTTATTTTATAAATGGTTATATTTTCCCTCCAAAAAATATGGGCATTTCGCCACTGTAAATTATTATAAATTAATAAAATGAAATTAATAATAATAATTAATTTAATATTAATTAAATTAAATTAATAAATTAATAAATTAATAAATTAATAAATTAATAAATTAATAAATTAATAAATTAATAAATTAATAAATTAATAAATTAATAAATTAATAAATTAATAAATTAATAAATTAATAAATTAATAAATTAATAAATTAATAAATTAATAAATTAATAAATTAATAAATTAATAAATTAATAAATTAATAAATTAATAAATTAATAAATTAATAAATTAATAAATTAATAAATTAATAAATTAATAAATTAATAAATTAATAAATTAATAAATTAATAAATTAATAAATTAATAAATTAATAAATTAATAAATTAATAAATTAATAAATTAATAAATTAATAAATTAATAAATTAATAAATTAATAAATTAATAAATTAATATAATAAATTAATAAATTAATAAATTAATAAATTAATAAATTAATAAATTAATAAATTAATAAATTAATAAATTAATAAATTAATAAATTAATAAATTAATAAATTAATAAATTAATAAATTAATAAATTAATAAATTAATAAATTAATAAATTAATAAATTAATAAATTAATAAATTAATAAATTAATAAATTAATAAATTAATAAATTAATAAATTAATAAATTAATAAATTAATAAATTAATAAATTAATGAATTAATAAATTAATGAATTAATGAATTAATAAATTAATGAATTAATGAATTAATGAATTAATGAATTAATAAATTAATAAATTAATAAATTAATAAATTAATAAATTAATAAATTAATAAATTAGTAAATTAGTAAATTAATAAATTAATAAATTAATAAATTAATAAATTAATAAATTAATAAATTAATAAATTAATAAATTAATAAATTAATAAATTAATAAATTAATAAATTAATAAATTAATAAATTAATAAATTAATAAATTAATAAATTAATAAATTAATAAATTAATAAATTAATAAATTAATAAATTAATAAATTAATAAATTAATAAATTAATAAATTAATAAATTAATAAATTAATAAATTAATAAATTAATAAATTAATAAATTAATAAATTAATAAATTAATAAATTAATAAATTAATAAATTAATAAATTAATAAATTAATAAATTAATAAATTAATAAATTAATAAATTAATAAATTAATAAATTAATAAATTAATTTAATTATTATTATTACAATTATTGGTTATATTTTAAAAACTACTCAGTATAGATTATGAAATATAAATTTTATGGTACAACTACATGGGAAAGAACTACAATTTTAGTGTAAAAATATATTTGAATCACCGTACTGGGCCACCCTGTACATACGTTTTATTTTAGGTAAAAGTTGTAACTACAAAGTATACCTACTTATACAAAACAAGATATTTAACTTCTGGTTTATCAAAAATTAACATTTTCCATGAAACTTAAACTTTTCTTCATATATGTACTAAAAACATTGAACACGTTGTATACAGGGTTGTTCACCACATACGACACGGAGTATTGTAGCTAAACGATGAGATTTTTACAAATTGTAAGTTTGGGGTTCGTTGAAGGACTTTTAGAGCTACAATTTAAAAATATTTCTACAAGATACAGAGTGTCCCAAATAAATAAAAAATATCAAAGTTGTATTTTTTTAAATGGAACACCCTGTATATTATTACATTTTTAGTTTCTACGATTAAAATAAAGGTAAATTTAATTAAAGTTTATTATACTTAAACCTTACCGTGTTTGAAATATTTTCAATTTTGTGAAATTGCAGTAAAAATTTTAAAGCTTCATTTCTCCAAGGGTATCAATGTTTTTAATACTAAATATTTAATGAAGTTTATTTATTGATCAGTTATTGTGTTGCAATAATAAAAATAATACTACCTTATACAGAGTGTCTAAAAATTTATTTTAAATAATTATTAGCTTCAAACGGCAATAACTTCTTTAATTTAAATGGAATGCCCTATATATTTTAGGAGAATCAGATGCACAATTAAATTGTCTATCAAACTGTATTATACCATTTTTTACCTATCCCTACAAGTTTTCGTAGAAAATTCATTTTCTTATAATTTAGACCTCATTTATCAATATATCCATGGAATATTGACATTTTAGATTGTTTTTAAAGCAACAAATGTACAAAATGTACAGACTAGTAATATTATCGTTTTTAGCAAAACGATAATATTACTAGCCCATTTGTATGCAAAAAAGAAAACTATTTAAATCTTTATAAAGAGTATACCATTAATTAAATATAACACCATTATTTCCGCCCATATACTAATTAATTACATACTTAATTGTGTTCGTTAATAAATTATTATAAATAAATGTGGATTTGAGTCAGAAATCAATATAATAATAAGTTATCAAATTAAAGTCTCTGTTGTTATAAATAAGCATTTATTAAAAAATGAAATATTATTTTAAGGTGTTACTTTTTATCACACTGTCTAATGCCCATACAAAATTCAGTTTTTTAGTATTTGGAGCAATTATTATTAATCAACGCAGTCAGTTAATGTAGTTTGAATACTGGAATCATATTAATTGATCCTCTTTAACAAATATTTAAACAGTTTTTTTTTATTTTTTAATGAAATAAACGAATTATATCGACAATATTAGTATCTGTACTCTTTAAAAATTTGGGACATCTTTAAAAATAATCTAAAATGTCAATAGTCCATGGGTATATTGATAAATAAGTTCTAAATTACAAGAAAATGCATTTTCTACGGAAACTTAAAGAGATAGGTAAAAAATGGTATAATGTAATTTGATAGACAATTAAATTGTGCATCTGATTCTCGTAAAATATACAGGGTGTTCCATTTAAATTAAACAAGTTATTGCCGTTTGAAGCTAATAATTATTTAAAATAAATTTTTAGACACTCTTAGTATTTTTATTATTGCAACACAATAACATCGGTAAATAAACTTCGGTAAATATTTAGTATTAAAAACGATACCGCTTGGAGAAAATGAACCCTAAAATTTTTACTGCAATTTCACAAAATTGAAAATATTTCAAAACGGCAAGGTTTAAGTATAATAAAGCAATCAAACTTTATTTTAATCGTAGAAACTAAAAATGTAATGATATACTGGGTGTTCCATTTAAAAAATACAACTTTGATACTTATTTGGGACACTCTGTATCTTGAAAAATTATTTTTAAATTGTACCTCTAATAGTCCTTCATCGAACCCAAAACTTACAATTTGTAAAAATCTCATCGTTTAGCTACAATAGTCCGTGTCGTATGTGGTGAACAACCCTGTATAATGTACTCACCATGACTTGTTTTCCCTGCTTTGATTATCAGAGTATATACAGACAGTAATAAAGGATGTAGAATTGCTAGATGAGTGACTTGATTTCCCCTTGAAATATTATTTATACAAAAAAACAATAAAAATTAAACATTGAACAGTGCTTTTCAAAAACTCACGAAACTAGTCTCCCACTACCAATTTGCAAAATGGGCAAATCAAAAATTCGCTCCACCACCACATCGTTTGGATGATATTCTCCCAATTGCCCATCGTCAGTATTTTCTGACAGGGGGTTAAAAATCCTGAGGACACCACTTTGACTTGCTGTCACTATATAATCGAAATCAGAGTTTAATTTAGTCACTAACAAAGAATTTTGATCGAAATATTCGTCATCTTCGCTAGTAGTTGACCAGAAATGTCTTAGTTTGAATAAAGACATGTTAATATTGTGAATTTCATGGTATTTTGTCGACTAAGCATGTTTATACTGTTGTAAGAACTCAGAAGTTTGGTTGCTAAGAAACGCTACATTATATTTAAAAAAGAACAATCAATATTTGAGTTCTTAAACGGCCCACAGACGATCCAATCTGTTGTACAACAAGTTGGACGATTTGGTTTGAATCAACTGTTTGAACGATAATCGTAATTTCTGTGGGCTTGTCGTCCAACTTGTCGTTAAGACGCGGTTGGATAGTTTGTTAGTTCAGCATGTTTAAAAATCTGTCGTACAACTTGGTTGGATCAACGACAAGTTTGAACGTCTGTGGCTGTTTCTACTATGTTAATACAGAAATACATCGTATAGTGAGATTGTGGTGTTTCATCATGGAGGAAAATAGACAGTTTTGGACAGAGTTTATTGAAATTTATGGAGACCATTGTAACAGCCATTTTTTACACCATAAAAAGCGACTCTACTAAAGCAGCTACGGTTTTTTGACATTGTTTGTGGCATAGTCAAACATACACTGAGTCACTGAACTAATTCATTTAAAACATTTAACTAATCGTACTACAAGTCGCTTTAGAATGTCGTTACGTTTGTCTGGACGATTTTTTGTCCAACCTATCGTACGATCAGTTGTACAACCGATTGTATCGTCTGTGGGCCCCTTTAAACCACAGCTTACTTTGCTCTTGACTTATTTGAAATTAGTGAGCCTACTAATTGAGATATGTTCATATTGATGATATTATATCAACACCATTTTAGGACTTTTTTGAATGAAAGTTTACTGTGAAAATATATTTGATCTCCTTGTATATACCTATAAAACGTTTTTAACATCTTCCTTACTACTACTTATACAGGGTGTTTCAAACAACATGTGCCATCTGTCAATAATACATGTTTTTTTTTGAAAAATATTGTGATAACCCATAATATGCACGTCCCTGATGAAGCATTAAAATTTTTTAGCATTAAAATATGTTGCACTTATAGTAACTTTTACCCTCAAAATTTCATTCGAACCGCTAAAAGTACTTGGAAGAAAATTACGATAAATCGAAAAAATATTAAGACAACCCCCTGTAGCTACGAAACAAAGCAGAATCGGACCTATGTTGATATGAAAAATAAATCTTATTTTACGTTAGGAATCTCCTCACGAGAGATGGTACCTGTTTTTTTGATACACCCTGTAACTGTATATTTTTTAAAAGATTAAAGATCTAAAAAATCTTATAACCTAGGAAACAAGCTTTTTAAAAACCCTGATTCCCTCTGTATAAATAAACATTCGCAAAATTTGATAATAGGTACATCTAAGCACAAAGAAAAGGAAAATAAATACTAATTTCAAACTCATCCAAAATTTATTAAAAAATAAAAACACAATTATAAATACATTTTATTTGAATTTTTATATTTTATATATAGACATCTTCATAAACAAAAATTAAACATTTTTTGGCAGCCAATTAAATGTTTTCATCGGTACTACTCAATATACATACATTATATAAAATGCAATAAAAACTATATATAAAATAAAAGATATTGTTCCCTTAATATAGAAGAATACAACAGACAATACAATAATAGACTAGAAAAAAAAATAAGAATACAAAATACACACAATTTTATTTGTAATATAATTAAGTTTGTCTTTTTTTAAAGTAGTGCATTTTTCAAACAAATGCATAAAATAGGTATATAAATATTTTAAAAAGTAATTCGTTAAGAATAAGATAAATTATTTACAATCTAACATAATAATATATAAAAGTAATTCCAGATATTCAGATATTACACAGAAAATATTCAACATCAAGGCCATGAATTCTAATATACAGTTAAGGTTATGGTTTGCCAGAATTCGAACGATTTAATACCTAAAACAAGAATTTTTACAAAGAGAATTCATTAAAAATATTATAAAGATTACCAATACCTTTTTGTTTACAGATGGGGGTACTGTAGCCTCATTACTAATAGCTGTATTGAACACAGCATTAGCTGATAGCTTCATACATTCATCTAGTGTCTTTATAAAAGTGTCACAGGTTGCTCCTAGTAATCTTGTAGCCTCATCCATTTCCTAAAACCAAACTATACCTTTATATACGTCTAGAGTACAAGAAAAATCTGTACAAACCTCGATTTTAGGCCCCTCTCTATCTTGTGCCGAGTTCTTTATAACATGCACCTGTTGCATTAAGAGATCACAATATAGTTTCAGTTCAGACTTTTTGGTTTTCAGAGAATCCGGATTTTTTACTACAAAAATTAAGGTATTCTACTCAAAATTATGTTCTATAAAACATTAACTATTTAGACTCACAGTTTTCTTTGCCTTTTCTGTTATGGACACAAGCTTTTGCGGTACCTAGAGCCACCAACCATTGTTGTCTTTCTTGAGAAGTCGCTGCCCGAAGGTACATGTGTTGTTCGCCTGGTATCACTAAATCCATACGAGTATGATCTATTGGACTTACTAAAAAATATTGAGTTTAAAAAGTATTTTTAATGTATTTCTAGAATATTTTACCATTGATTTCACAAGCTTGAACTTTCATAGAGCCTTTACAACCTTGGTTTACCTCTTCTTGAGATTTGTAATAGCTCAGAACCCCATTTTCAAGAATAAACCATCGAGTTTGCCAGCCTGTATCAAGAAATATAATGTTGATTGTGGTTTTAAGTATAGCAAATTAAAAAAAAAACATAATAAATAGAATAAAACTTACCATTCCAATAATTTGTCCACTTCCACAATACACCCTCCATGCTATTTGAAATAAAACAGTGCCACGATTTAGAAAATTTTACGGAATCTTACTAAATCATATGGCAATAAAATGCCAGATTGTAAAACTGTAATTACAACACTTTACAACAGTTCATTTTTATTTACTTTCGGTAAAAATTAAACAACTTCTTAAACGTCATAAAATCAGCTGTTTATCTAATATTTTTGTCTAAGCTGTCAAAAAAATTAACGGCGACATCTATTACTAAGATTCTGAATTAGTAATTAGAAGATTTCTGCTTTAAATACTTTTTCTGCCATCTATTGACAACTGACTGTATTCATACATTAAAGAAATCTGCTTAAAGTGCTTATAAGATTAATGAAATACTAAAATTTAAAATCGTGACAAATTAAATGTCATTTTCAAAAAATTCACAACAGACAGCAACGGTTTTCATTGAATGCCATAAAGAATTCATAAAGTCTGTTTTTGTGCTATTTTCTGTTCAATATTTTTAACCCATTTTAATCCGTACACGTCCTAAATATTACTGTAGTTGGTGTGTAATTCGTTGTTTTATATTTTGACCTCAACACGAAACAAAAATGTTTCATTTTGAAGATAAGGAGGTAAGATGGTTTTTTTAATCAAAAATAATGTAGATTTTTTATATATTAGGCTTTGCGAAGTTAATATAAACTACGTATTTGGTCTCTAGACAATACAAAGCGTAATATTTTAATGTCGTTGGCTAAAATTAAACTATATTTTGTTATTAATAACCAAAACATTGTTGGCCCAAACTAATGGTGTGTAAAGGTTAAATATCCTTTGCCAAAGTCTGAAACCTATTGCCTTAGACTGCCGTAACGCCTTTTCTCCGATTTTACTTATAAATAGACTGTTTCATTCAGTGTCAGTGTGTGTAGATTTCCTGCAAGATTCGAACTTATTTTTATACTGCAGTTTGACAAGGGTTTCCTTAAGGAAAACTTGCTGAAACAAGGGAAATTTTTCTGATTTTGTCTAAAAAACTCTCAGGCCTATTTTGCTAGAGACAAAATATGTTTAGATAGGTGTTTTGTGTATAATTTTATTCAATTTTTTTGTGAAGAAATCTCTGATAATGGATTTTATAGCAAGTGTTATTAGAAAATATATGCAGGTATTTTTATAAAGTTTTTTTTTTAACTTTAATATCTAAATTTTCTAATTAATACTGACCTGGACATATTAAAAATCTCATATTTAAGTTTATTTTAAATTAATTGTGATAACACTAATAGAGATAAGGGAGATTAAAAAATATTGGCAATAATTAAAATAAAACATATTTGTTTCAGAATGACTCAAAAAGAATTAATATAATAAGTGAAGATCAGGAAAATCAGGGTAAGTTTTTCACTAGTAGTGTCTAAATTTATTATAATTTTTGTCTATTAGTTTGATCATTAGAATAATTTTAATTGTGAAAATCAAAGACTGCTTGATCATAACAAAAAGCATCATATGGGACTGGTGCAGTAGGTAAAACTTTGAAAAAAGAAAAATTGTGGCAACTTTACAAGGAAATAAATTATTTGTTCTTGTAAAAAATTAATACTTTTCTTTACGGTTATTATATTTTCCTTAAAAAAGAAAATTTGTGGCAACTTTACAACTTACTAACTGTCACTAGAAAATTGCCATGGCGATACCAGCCATCTTGATCGCCATTTATTTAAAAATCGCTTTTTATTCAAAATCTGAGATAGATAGGTATCGGAAACCTTAATATAGTTTGAAAGAGCATTTGAATCTGCTTCGATTTATTTAAAAAAATACAGGGTGTTGCATTTGAAATAACAAAGTTTTTATGCAAAATAAATCCTTAAAATTAATAACTAATTTTTGGTACCCCTTATAAATTTAAATAAGCAATAACATTTTTCAGTAAAGTTTATTTCTTTACCTTTTAACTCAGCACAAGAATTAATTCTGAAAAGTAATTTACAGGGTATTGATAATCAATTCTCTTGTAGCAGGCAAATTTAAATATCTTTAAATATCTGAAAAACAAATAATTTTAAACATATTTAACCCTTATAATAGATGTCTTTTTTTGGGCCCAAGAATCCAAAAATGAAATAAAATACCGGGTATTCCATAAGAAAAAATATAACTTTGGTATGGATCTTAGTTCGGCGACACCTTGTATATTTCAAAATAATTTTAAATTGTGCACATTGACTCCCCACATATATCCATAAAATATATTGTTTATAATCATCTTTCCGTTTTCGTATAATCAACCGAGACGAATGAGGTGCGCCACCCTGTAGATATTAGGGATATTTGTTAATATGTTATACCGTATGATCGAGAAAAAACGGCGTCCAGTTGGCTGGGAAATGAAGATCGCTGTCATTTTATATGTAAATTTATATGGGAAATGTCATCGATCGTCATTTCCCAGCCAACTGGACGACATTTTTTTTCGATCATACGGTATCTTTAAAAGTTATATGTTATATCTTTATCTATTAAAGTATTTAAACGTTACAACAGCAAGTGTAACTTTGTACTTATTTGATAAATAGATATAGGGTGTATTTAATAGATATAGGAATACTTTTTTAATACCTTTATAGGAAAAGTTTTTATAATTTTTTTCAGTTATCTTTCGATTTATCATAAGTCTTTAAACAAGTTGATTATTTTGATTTAAATACATGATTAAAATAAAAAAATCCGTTGATTTAAATCATTGCACCCTGGTAATTTATTTGAACTTTCGCGTTTTTCAGAGGCAATAAGTCAAAAACCTAGAAGATCCGTCTTGAAGGAATTTGATCCCATTGCACCAGATAGGTAATAAAATCATTCCTTAAATAACTTTTTATTGTCTCGCGCTTCTGCATGCAAAATTGAATTACCAACACGTACAGGATGGTCCATAAAATTACTTTAATAATGTATTTTTGAAATACATATATTTTTAAATATCAATATATAACTTCTTAATATTGTTAATAATAAAAAAAAATTTAATAATATTAAAAACTATCTATGAAATAGTTTATCTGTCAGAGAAATATCTAAACTTAGAGGAGAAACTCCCCTAATATTTGTTGACCCCAAAAAGATTATTAGAATTCAAGGTGTCTTGTTTTTCAAATTAATATTTTTTTAGGAAATATGCGATGCTTGTTTTGAATAGTTTATTAGAACAAATCTCTGTTTACTTATTTCTTTGAATAAGGGACTGATTCAAAATAATGACATCACTGTACCGAATTATATGTAATTACACCGTTTGGTAATCATTTATCCAAGCATGAAGCATCCATTAATCTCATTTATATACACATTAACTAATCTTATTGTTATTAATATGATTTTTTACGTCATAGCCCTGCGCCAACTAAAAAGGTCAGTGTTATTGAAGAGGAAGAAAATTTGAAGATGCAGAGACATCTTTAACTTACTTTTTGATCCCTAAAAACAAAAATATTGCATACCCTGTAGAAAATGACGTTTTTCAGTCCAACCAGGGTCTCCTTATACCAGAACTGCAGGGTACTTATTGTTAATAATAAATAAAAATCTGTATATTAATTTACTATGTATTTTTAAGAATTTGCATCACCTAACCCTAATGATATGTCTGATCTGTGTTACGTTGAAGCTGTAGAAAATCTGTCTCATGTGGACAATATTTCACAGGATTCAGATTCTGATGAAGTCGTTTTTAAACACAAGAATGAAAATAATCCAGAAAAAATGAGCAATTCAACAGAAGATACAAATGTTAATTCAACTTTTAATCAGACAGAAAATAGTGAGACTGGTTTAGCTTTAAATGGAACTTTTGATAATAAAAATAAGCTTGATACCACTTTTGAGTGTGCAGAATCTAAAACTGACCCAAAAGATCTGAATCAAACTTCTGAAAACCAAAAAGATTTAAATAAAATAGGTGAAACTTTAGGCGCTTCAGAGATTCATGAAGAAGGTCACCTTCCGAATTCTGTTTCTAAAACAACTTTTGAAGATCAAGCAGTAAAAAGTGAAGATTCCAGTAAGATTTGTGATGTCAAAGAGGATCCAGGTCCAGAACAATTAGAAAAACAAGATAAAAACAAATCATTTGATGTAAACTGCGAAGAAAACACAAATAAACAAGAAACAAATTCTTCTATTTCACTTACCAACAAAACTCTGGATAATTTTGAAGAAAATAAAGATCTAGAAAATGTTGCTGGAAGCAAAAATGTTACACCAAACACAGCAGAAAATAAAGACTTAAATATAACTGAAACTGAAGAAATGCATGTTTTGAACGTTCAATCTAGTTTAACTTCTGAAGATCAAAGAGTTAATAATAATATAGGGATTGATGTCAAAGAAGATCTATCAGAAGAAATACCAAAAGAAGATCAAAATAAGTCCTTTGATGTGGCTGAATCTCAAGCTAGAGAGTCTAGTGAACAAAATATGAATTCATCTGGTTTAAATATTACCAAGGATATAGAAGAAAACGAAGATCTTGAAGCAGTAAAAGATTTATTAAATAAATTATCTTTAGCTGATACACCAAATTGCGAAGAGAAATTGAAAACTAAAGTAGTTGAAGTTGTAACGGAAGATGCAGAGACAAAAAATAATGTAGAGAGTAAAGATTTGAATAAAACTTTTGATGACACCAAAGGTAATATAGAAGAACTAGGTAAAGATATAACAAATACCAAGGATATAGAAGAAAACGAAGAAGATCTTGAAGCAGTAAAAGATTTAGATAAATTATCTTTATCTGATACACCAAATTGCGAAGAGAATTTGAAAACTAAAGTAGGTGAAGTGGTAACTGAAGATACAGAGACAAAAAATAATGTAGAGAGTAAAGATTTGAATAAAACTTTTGATGACACCAAAGGTAATCAAGATGAACAAGGTAAAGATGTTACAAATAAGTTTTTTAGTGCTGCAGAAACTTTGGTTATAAGTGAAAAAGACTTTGCATCAAAAGATTCAGAAAATAAAGATTTAAACCAAACGTTTGAAACTTTAACTCAACCAGAAAATTCTGAAGAAAAATTAGAAAATAAAGTTGTTGAAGTATCATCTACTGAAGATAATGACACGAAAAATAATGATGAAAATGAAAATTCCAATGAAACATTTGGCGCAAAAGAAGAACTAGTAAAAGAAGATGAAAATAAATCTGCTGGCTCTGAAATAAATTCTAGCAATCAAGAAAGAGTATCTTCACCTGTTTATAAAACTTTGATTGGAAGTGGTAAAGATACATCAAATTCTGAAGAAAATTTGGAAGCCAAAGTATTTGAAGCTGTGTCTTCTGAAGATAAAGAAACAAATACTAATGTTGGAAACAAAAATTTGGATAAAACTATTGATATCAAAGAAGATAGTCCTGAAGAATTAAGAATTCGAGATAAAAATAAAGTTTTTGATGCAGCAACATCTGAAATGGACTCTATAAAACAAGAAAAAATATCTTCAGATTCATCTCTTAATAAAACTAGAGTTGAAAATGAGACAGATGCTTCAAATGTTCCTGAAATTCAAGATATGAATAAAACATTTGAATCTTCAGTTACATCAAATTGTAGAGAAGAAATAGAATTTAAAGGAAATAATGTTGAATCTTGTACAAATATTGAAGATCAAAAAATAAAAAATAATATTAAAAAGAGTGTTTTGGATGAAACTTTTGGTGCAAAGGAAGACAGTTCAGAAAAATTAGTTAAACAAGATATAAATAAACCTTCATTAGTTGATGATACAGAAAGTAAAGATTTAAATAAAACTTTGGAGACTTCCAAAGAGTTGAATCAAAATAATACTGTTAAAAATCCAACACCAGCTAATGAGAATCTACAAAGTTCAGTTCCTGAAAACCTTGATAGTACTTTTGAGCATAACAGTACAAAAAATCTAGACATGTCTGAAGAACAAGAGCTTAAATGTGACAAAGAGTTGGAAGTTATGGCTAATAGTTTAAACCAGACTATTGATATTGAAGAGTCTGCCATTGTTCAAGAAGTGAACTCATCGACATCTCCAGATCACTCAGATGTCTCAGGTATGTTTATATTTTTGTTAGTATTTTTTCTTATTTTAGTTTTGTTTTTTCTTATTTCTATTATTTATTTTTTTAATTTTATTATCGTAGATTCTTTAAACAAAACAATGGAAGGAAATAAAGAAACACAACAAAACAATAAAGTTAAAGAAACGGTAGAGAATGATACACAAAGTACTTCTGAAATTAAATTGGCACAGTCTAACGAAAAAATTGATGAAATAAATGTTGATAAATCCAAAAACAACAAAATATCATGTCGTCCGAATATAAGACCGCTTAGAACACAAACCCAAATTATCAGTAAAGAAGTTCTTAAAGAAATTAACAAAAATAATAAAGAACCTAATAAATCAGATGAAAACCCAAAAGAAGATTATCAAAACGAGACAGATGCTTTAAAGAAATATGTCAGCCAATTAGAAAAAGAAGTAGCTACGCTTCAGGAAAATAACTTGAAAAAAGAGGTTCAGAAAATAGAGTACTCAGATCACAAAACGACTGAGCAAATACGGAGATATATGTAGGTTTTAAATACATTGGGAACAAAAATATTTTTTTACACATAATGGACATGTTTTTTAGGTCAACTTTACAATATTATGAACAAGTGATACAAGCGCAGAACAAGGATTTAGAAAAAGTTAGGGCTGAGTATGAACAATGCAGCAGGTTATTCAGTAATACAGAGATGGCATTTTCGGATCTCTATGAGTGAGTATCACAAAAATATATATTTTTTTTAATTTTACATTTAAAGTATTCTAAAAAAGTCACCCCTTATGGGTAACAAGTTATTTCATATGGCTCTTTCAACGGTAAAATACAAGGGAAAAATCATTGGGTGGCTTTGAGAAAAATTTACTGTGGAACATGGCATATGAAATATAAAACCGCCAGTATTTGCGAGACCGTTAAAAATTTTGAAATACTCTCAATACAAAAAATGTCCATTTTTTAATTTTCCATCTATTAAAAAAATAATATACAGAAGGTTCCGTTTTCCGTTAAAAAAAGGAAGAAAGATTATTTTATATTTTAGAAAGTCTGGTGTAGAATTTTGAACACCCTGTATCATTTAAGATTACGATATTTATAGCAAAGTTAGTATAGACTATCTAACGTAAATTTAACTAACGTAATTTTTAATATTTTTTTTTAAGAAAGCCTGAAAAATATACATATATATTTTATTTACATATTTATTAATATCTCCGAAATTATCGAAATATATTTACTCATGTCTTAGAATTATGCCAAAAAATGCAATAATATACAGGATGTTACATTTAAGAAAAATCATCCCGATCCACTACAAAATTTTCAAACGTTTTTTCATGGAACAAAGCTCATAGGCGTGTTTCTGGGGTTGAAAATCACCTCTAAAAATATTTGCCCCCATTTTAGACTCACCCTGTATAACACTTTATTTTACAGAAAATACCAAAAAGCCAGGTTTGTCGTGGAAAATTACAAAAAGAACGAAGAATCGTTGTTAACTAGTTTGCAAACTTCCGAGGCTCAACTGTCAAAAATTCAAGAAAAATGCACAGTGTTGCAATCCCGTTACGAGGATATAGTGAAAATGTAAGTTTGATATTATATCGTCCAAAAAAAAATCCAAAAAACGGCGTCAAGTTGGCTTTGAAATGATATTTATTTCCAAGCTTACCCTGACGCCGTTTTTTTTCGACCGTCTTGTGCGTTATTTCTCTTCATTGCTAAAATTATATTTTTTTATGTTTTATCTACAGGAGTGACGAAAAAATTGCGGAAGAACAACAAAAACATAATGCTGAACTTGTTAAATTACAGGCCATAGCAAAAAGGCTTGAAATAAAAACTTCTTCCTTAGAAACGGCTTTAAAACAGAAAACTGAAGAGTGTCAAGCCTTGTCAGCATTATGTGATGACATCACTGGGACTTCTTAAAGGATTTTGTCAGAGATGAAGATCAGTATTGTCAATTTTTTTTGTTATTTTTTTAGTTACATGTGTAAATGTGTTGTGTTATTAATTATATTATATTATCTTATATTTTTAATTGTATATAGCGATATTTATATTTTTTACGATATAAGAATAGTAAAGAAAAAAAAAATATTTTTACTATAAAATAGATATAAAAAAATATTTAATTTTTCTAAGAAGTCGTTTTATTTATCATCAAATTGTCATAAAAATGGATAAAGCTTTTGGATGTTATTTTTTTAAATAAAAGTACTGTATGATCGAAAAAAAACGACGTCCAGTTGGCTAGGAAATGACGATCGATGACATTTCCCATATAAATTTACATATAAAATGACAGCGATCTCCATTTCATAGCCATCGCTGACGTCGTTTTTTTTCGATCATACAGTAGATACATATTAATAAAAAAAAATGTATAAATACAAAGAAAAAACATTGGATCAGAGTATTTGAATTGACAAATATCAGTTATATCAAAAGCTATTATGACACCGGTTTTTTTTTTATTCAATAATAATGTATTAGTACAATATTGCAAAATAAAAAACACTAAATCACCACAACACACCAAAACACTTTTACTTTTACACTGGACGCGCGTTTCGCTAACCATGTTAGCATCATCAGCAGATGATTATAAACTGAGATGATTATAAACTTAGTTTATAATCATCTGCTGATGATGCTAACATGGTTAGCGAAACGCGCGTCCAGTGTAAAAGTAAAAGTGTTTTGGTGTGTTGTGGTGATTTAGTGTTTTTTATTTTGCTGTGTAACACCAAAGGTTCCAACCCTCAACTGTAAGTACAATATTATCAAAAAAACGGCGTCAGCGATGGCTATGAAATGAAGATTGCTGTCATTTTCTTTGTAAAATTATATGGTGAATGTCATATCGATTGTTGTTTCCAAGCCAACTAGACGTCGTTTTTCGATCATACGGTGTTTTCAGTTATTTTAAAAAGTACAAAATTGAGACAGAGTAGTTTTTGAAATGATAATATACCTAAGGGTTAGATAACAGAAGTTATCTCAGTTATTTCAAAAGCTACTATGACATTGTTTTTTTTCAATCATACTGTATAAAGTGCTGTATATTTATACCGTATGGTCGAAATCGGAAACTCGTCGTCCAGCTAGCTTTTGAAAATGAACACCGATGACATTCCCCATATAATTTTACATAGAAAATGACAGCGATCTTCATTTCATAGCCATCGCTGACGCCGTTTTTTTACGATCATATTTTACTATAGTAAAAAATCAGTTGTTTTATTTATTTTTAAAATTATTTTAAATAATATATATAAAGATTGACAGAAATTACAGGGTATTTCAAAAGCTACTATGACATCGTTTTTTTTTTCCAATTAATCAAAATCAAATTAAACCGTACCATTGAAAAAAATGCGTCCAGTTGGCTTGGAAAGGATGATCGGTGATATTCCTCTTATAATTTTACATACAAAATGACAGCCATCTTCACTTCCAAGCCACCTCTGACGCCGTTTTATTTTTCGATCGTATGGTACCGTACTTTGTACCGTATGATGGAAAAAAACGACGTCAAGTTGGCTTAGAAATGACAATCAATGACATTCCCCGTGTAATTTAACATACAAAATGACAGCCATTTTCATTTCCAAGCCTCCTCTGTCGTCGTTTTTTTTCGATTGTTATGGTATTATTCACCATAATAAAAATCAATCATTTTTTTAAGCTTATATTATAATCAATGGTAAAAAAGTTTTACAGAATAAAATTTTTAAAACTATTTAAAATAAATTTATATAAATATATCTCAGATCTAAAATGGACGGAATTACAATGGATAAAAATACATTTTTAAAATGTTTTCAGTCAAAAATAACAATATTACATTCAGTTTGACTTAAAAATACTTCACGTGGACAAAAATATGTGATACAAGCATAGCAATATCGTCAAAATAGCTGGTTTTTCTATGCTGTAAGCTCCAGACTAAAAAACAAATATTTTTAATTAATAAAAACAAAACTCTCTATCTTAATAAACTGAAAATAGTACTTACAATCACATAATAATTGCACCTATCCCCTTTACAGCACTCTGAACACTTCCAATCTTCATACCAAATATGAGTACAAGTTTCCATGTTATTTGTACGGTACTTAGCACACTTATCTTTAGTCGAACATCTTTTAGAAATATAGTATTGCTTGAGAGCTCCTAAAATTAATTAATATTCATGACAATCAAGTTTCCTGATGTAAATAACAGCTCTGTCACTTTCAAAGCTAACTTGATAACGTTAATATTTCAAATTTTGTTGGGAAACGATAAAATTTTCAGGATTTTCTTTACCTTGTTGCCAGTACGGTGTACTGCCCCAACTGATTTCAGTTAAACAGACATCCTCCCCATAATTGCATGTCTGAATTGTGGTTTTACATTTTCCTTCGTTGGTTTCCTGATTTTCACAAACGTAACACTCTAGGGCTGCACCTTAAAAATTTCGTTTTTCTTGGTTAGAAAAATGTTGAACTTGTAATTTAAATATAGTACGTACTTTGGTGAAATAAATACAGTAGGACTATTGAAATGGGAACAATAGTTTGCCACATTTTTATTAATTAATTACTGAATTTTCAGAAACAACGCCCTAAAAAGTTTTGTTATTAAATTAAACAGTGAAAAATATACATAAAGCAGGTGATTATTTGGTTGCCTACGTTTTAGGATTTTTACAGAGCCGGATTATATTGAATTTAAAAATATGTTATTAATGTTAAAAATAATTAAAACAATGTTAAAAATAAATGAGATGTTTACTTGTTAATGCTTAATAGGTATTATTAAAAATAGTAATTAGTTTTTTAATTCTATAAGTCCTAAAGTAGTTTAAATTGATTTTACCAAAACAAATATTTATATAATTCAATTATTACAAGTAATACATAAGATACAAATAAAACAAGATACTATATATTTAATATCATTGTACTATTTAAAAGCATTTTTTAATAAGATTTTAGAGCTTTTCTAAGGTAAATTTCATTATTTTGTCTCGTAGGTACCTAGAATTTTCCCTAACTTTGCGAAAACTCTCTTCATGTATTTCCCTTGCACGATCTGCATTTTCCAATTTCCTGAATACTCCGGGAAAGCATCCTCTTGAACGAGCACATACGCTGTCATCAATAAGAGCTGAAATATTTTTCCTACGCAGGATTAATATATCCTTACATAAACTATACATATATGATGAACATATTTTAAAAAAAATTGTATGTGAAAAATGATAAAACATATTGTGTGTGTTTTTGTTCTTTTAACTTTTGTTTATGGTAAGTTTTTTAGTAATTTAGAGTGTAGAACATTGTATAAATATTATAAATAATTAGTTTTCGGTATATAGATATTCTCTTTCAACAATTTTAAATATATTAATATATTATTGTTTCAAAAACTGGTTGTAAAACTATATAATGCAAATGAAGAGTTTTTAAAATTCTATTTAGTTTTTTTCTTTAAATATTCTTTTTAATTTTAAATATAGAATATAATCTTTATTACTATTGTTTATATTTACTAATATGAGTTCTGAGACTTATAAAACCAATATTTCTTTATTAATTTAATCTGAAATGACACTCTTTATAGTTATTGATCCAATTTCAGAGCCAGGAAAGTGACACAAATTAGATTTCCTTTGTGCTTTTGATCTCGATTTTCTAGCTTCTGTTGTCAATTTTCTTTAATATGACATTTCTCCTTTTTTTATTAAACAAAAACTGTTGAAATTAATCATCTTTTTATTATTTTGCGTAATAATTAAGTGTTTTTAATATATTTAAAATCTCGATATTTTTTAATCTAATTATTTAGTAGAATAATATATAATCTATTTACGAATGAGATAAAAATATATATTACTTATATAAAAAAATTGAACAATGAATAAACAATTAAGAAATGTGATATAAACACCATATTTATAAAATTTTGGTGCCTTATTCAAAGACTGCCAATTTTGCAAAACTAGCTTCTATATTTAGAATAGGTATATATAATACAACGAATATTTTTGAAAATCTATAACGAAGAAATTATGTACCGTATGATAAAAAAAAACGGCGTCAAAGACGGCTGGGAATGAAAAGCGATGATAGTTTTAGCGAGGTCAATCTCTAAGCGTTATTTACTAAAAATTCACATATAAAACATTTCATAAATTAATACTAATTATGGGTTAAAAAGGTTAGAACGTTTTCAGATACAAAAATCATCTATTTCCAAAAAAAAAATATTTTCTCCTTTTTTTAAACACCATCTAAAAATCATTTTTACTTAAAATTTAAAAATAAATTACAATCTTCTTAGCGCCACCTGGCAGTAAAAGAGCCATTAAAAAAAATAAAGCAAAAATAGTACGGGCCAAGTAAACGACGCCTAGGGCTTGACCTCGCCAAAATTATCATCGATTGTCATTCCCCAGCCATCTCTGACGCCGTTTCTTTTTGTTTAAATTCAGGAATATCAGCTTCAAATCTGACTTGCTATCAGTGCATCAAAAATAATGAAAATGAAGAGTGTGGACCAGAATATTTGTTACCATGTCCCTCCAGCTCAGATAGATGTGTCATTCATTTCACAAAAACCAGTAAAAATACAATATTTTTGTTTAAATAATTCTATATTAATTTTTTTCTCATTTTTTTAGAAAACAGTTTTGTTGTAAAAAGAGAATGTGGACTAGCTCCCTGCGCATTTGATGACGAAATGGCTGTAAGAGGACTGGGAATGAACTGCGATCGGTCCAGAAAAGAATATTTTTGTACTTCATGCTGTAAAGAAAATGGATGCAACAGAAATTCAGCCACTACTATAAAATTACACAATGTTCTTATATTTTTTACGATAGCATTCATTTGTATCCTTAATTTGTTCAGGGATTTTATTCCTCCATTTGTCCAGTCCGAAAATATGAATAATTATAAAAAATAAACTCCATGGTATTTTTATTTCGAATTTTCCTGAATACGATCCTGTCTTATAATGATTTTCGAACTCAAAGTATTTCAGAATTTAGGATCTTCGACTATCAAATTGCTTTAAGATTTCGTTAACAGGTGTCACCACTATCTAAACAATCAGGGATGACATTTTATTGACATTTTTTTGATGTTTAGTTTTTCCGAAATTTTCAAGAAAATTGTGATTTTAGTCACCGGATCGGTGTATTTCACTGAATAACCGGCTGGAATTGTTAGAATTTAAGACTCTCAATAATAAATAATTAGTATGGTTAGGTTAGATAGTCCTCAAATATATTTTTCTCTACTTTTTACGGTAAGTACCCGGAAGCTTTGCCACGACGTTGTTTTTATACGAAAAATTGTTAATTGGTACCAATTTGAACCACTTAAATCGATGCCTGATACTTAAAATGATATTTCCAATCATTTCCCTACCATAATTACCCAAAATATAATTATATCATAACCTAATAATTTATAATATTGGCACTGAAATAGCAATTATTTTTAGATATCATGCAGTTTCTACAACCCTACAGACAGCGAGGCTGTTCAGCTTACAGAGAAAACTTTCGATAATACAATAGGTTTGTATAAAATGCCCCTACATCTAGCTAAATTTTACAACTTTAATTTTCAGCATCAACTGAATTAGTGTTTATTAATTTCTATGCCGATTGGTGTAGGTTTAGTAATATGTTAATGCCGATTTTTGATGAGGCAGCAGATAACATCAAAAAAGAGTTCCCCGAAGCAGGGAAGGCTGTATTAGCCAAAGTAGATTGTGATAAAGAAAGCTCTATAGCTAGTAGGTAATTAAAACAATTTGCTTGAACAATAAAATACTCTTTTCTATTATTTGTGTTGTTTTCAAAGGTTTCACATAACTAAATACCCAACTTTAAAGTTGTTAAGAAACGGACTCCCAGCAAAACGGGAGTACAGAGGTCAGAGATCAGTGGAAGCCTTCACAAAATTCATTCAGAAACAATTAGAAGACCCCGTTAAAGAGTTTAAACAAATTAGTGAACTAGGAAAGCTGGAATCAGACAAAAGAATTATTATTGGTAAGTTAAAAAACAATGGTTTGTATATATTATCTATGCAAATACTGTGTTTTGTAGTGAATATTTATACAAAGATAACAATATGTACTTTAATGTATGAATTGTTTCTAAAAATAGTATGTATTTAAATTGTTTTTTTTTATGATTTAGGGTACTTTGATAGAAGGGATCAACCAGAATATAGCATTTTCAGAAGAGTAGCGACAAATTTGAAAGATGACTGTCAATTTCATGTGGGTTTTGATGAGGCTTCTCGTCAAATGCACCCTCCAGGTAACCCAATTATAGTCTTTAGGCCTGATAAAGACAGATCAACTGATCTAGACGAGACATATCCGGGTAGTTTGAGTAATTTCGATGAACTACACATATGGGCTCAGGTATTTATTGATTTTTAGTTAGTTTTTAGAATGAAAATTGTCTAAATGTTTTGTTTGTTGTAGGAAAAATGTGTTCCTCTTATTAGGGAGATCACTTTTGAGAATGCTGAAGAGCTGACAGAAGAAGGGCTTCCATTTTTGATTCTGTTCCACAGTCCTGAGGATACGGATAGTATTAAAAAGTATAATGATGTGGTTAAGAATGAGCTACTATCAGAAAAACGTGAGTAATATATTTCTTTTAATAATTATCAAGTTTAATGATTTTTTTTGCAGAATCTATTACATTTTTAACTGCTGATGGCAAGAAGTTTGCCCATCCTTTGCACCATTTAGGAAAAAGTGAGCAAGATTTGCCTCTAATAGCTATTGACAGCTTTAGACATATGTACCTCTTTCCCAAGTATGAGGATATGGAAATTCCGGGAAAATTAAAACAATTTGTACAGGATTTGTATTCAGGTAGATTATTTTTTTCAAACCAGTTTTGTGACACTTTAAAAACTCCCTGGGAGTAAAAATTCAAGGCTGTGCAAGCTAGCGAGACGGCCGTGACACACAAGCGCGAGACGAAAAGTGGTAAGAACAGCCTACGGCTTAGAAATACACAGTGACGCGACGTGTATTTGTGACGCGTGTTTTTTACGCGTATAAAACTATTTGTTACACGTAAAAAACTATTTTTACGCGTGAAAACTATTTTTACGCTTAAAAAACTATTTGTTACACGTAAAAGACTATTTGTTACACGCAAAAAACTATTTTTTCCGTGTAAAAAACTATTGTTACATGTAAAAAGCTATTCTTTACGTGTAAAAAAAAATTTTAACAGGTAAAAGATAGTTTTTTACACGGAAAAATAGTTTTTTGCACGGATAAAATAGTTTAACTACTTGTTACACACAACAAATTTACGTGTAAAAAATCTATTTGTTACACGTGACAAGTTTTTCTTGCGCGTAAGAAAACTACTTGTTACACGCAAAAAAATATTTTTACGTGTAAAAAATTGTTTTTTACGTGTGACAAATAGTTTTTTATGTGTAAAAAATATTTTTTGGTTGTAACAAGTAGTTTTTTACGCGCAAAAAAGTTTGTCTCGTGAAACAATTAGTTTTTTATTAATAAAAAATAGTTTTTTACGGGAATCAAATAGTTTTTTACACGTAAAAAATATTTTTTTGCTTTGTAACAAATAGTTTTTTAGTGTTAAAAATAGTTTTTTTACGTGTAATAGTTTTTTACACCTAAGAAATATTTTTTTGCTTGTAACATATAGTTTTTTACGCGTAAAAAACTATTATCTACGCGTAAAATACTATTTTTACGCGTGAAACACTACTTGTTACACATGACAAACTTTTAAAAAACTATTACACGTAAAAAAACTATTTTTAACTCTAAAAAACTACTTGTTAAAAAGTATTTTCTAGGCGTAAAAAATAGTATTTTATGTGTAAAAAATAGTTTGTACGTGTAACAAATAGTTTTTACATATAAAAAATAGTTTCTTATGTGTAAAAAATATTTTTTAGTTGTAACAAGTAGTTTTTTACTAATTAGTTTTTTATTAATAAAAAATAGTTTTTTCCGTATATCAAATAGTTTTTTACACGTAAAAAATATTTTTTTACTTTGTAACAAATAGTTTTTTAGGGTTAAAAATAGTTTTTTTACGTGTAATAGTTTTTTACACCTAAGAAATATTTTTTTGCTTGTAACATATACTATTTTTTACTCGCAAAATACTATTTTTACGTGTGAAAAACTACTTGTTACACATGACAAACTTTTAAAAAACCATTACACTTAAAAAACTATTTTTTACCCTAAAAAACTATTTGTTACCCGCAAAAAATATTTTTTACGTGTAAAAAACTATTTTCTAGGCTTAAAAAATATTATTTTACATGTTAAAAATAGTTTTTACGTGCGACAAATAGTTTTTCGCGTGTAACAAATAGTTTTTTACCTGTGACGAGTAGTTATTTACACGTAAAAATATATTTTGGCGTGTAACGAGCAGTTTTTTAGGGTTAAAATAGTTTTTTACGCGTAATAGTTTTTTACACGTAAATTTTTTTTTTGCTTGTAGCAAACAGTTTTTTCCGCGTGAAGAACTATTTTTACGCGTAAAAAACTCTTTGCTACACGCAAGAAACTATTTTTTACACGTAAAAAGCTATTTTTACTCCTGGAAAACCAGTTGTTACACGCAAAAACTATTTTTTACCTGTATAAAACTATTTGTTACACGTAAAAAACTATTTTTTACGCGTGAAAAACCACTTGTTACACTTAAAAACTATTTGTTACACAAAAAAACTATTTTTTTACGCGAAAAAATATTTTTTTAATTTTTTTTAAGAAAAAATAAATTAAATTATCACAAAAAAAACCTCGCCATAGCCTCGAAATGATTATTTTTATAAGGATTTTATTTTTTTAGGTAAACTTCATAGAGAATTTCATTACGGTCCTGATACGGATTCGGAAACAGAAAATCTGCCAACAAATCCTCCAGAAAGTACATTCAGAAAATTAGCACCTTCAAAAAATAGATACACATTATTAAAGGACGAATTGTAACAAACATTAATTTTTACTCTGTGGTGTGATGGTAAAAAGTTAAAAAAAATCATTTGTTTCTTCAAAATCCGTGTCATTTTTGTTAATTTATTTTTATCTAGTAAAGATAACATTAAATTACATCATTTTTATCTCTGATATCTTTATGTTTTTATTTGAATGCAATTTTAAATAAAAGTAACATCACTTAAAATAAACCCATTTCAATTTTTTCTGCACTATAAACAAAAGATGCCGCATAATCGAAAAAAACGGCGTCGGAGTTGGCTTTGAAATTACAATAGGTGGTAATTTCAAAGCATACTTGACGCCGTTTTTTTAATTATCGTACGGTATATTTTTATCAACTTAAGGCAGGTCAGTTTAATTAATTACTAGTACAATAATTGTAAATTAAATATTTTTTTAGAAAGTTGGTCTTTTAAATACTTGTAAAATAATGTCAACTTTTTGTATTTTGTATTGTAACAAAACAGTTTTATTGTATCTGTCCCCATTTTTTTCTTTGTTAAATCCCGTTTAGTTGTAAATATCAATGCAGTAATTTAAAAGAAGTAAATAAATAAATTGTTTTTAATGAGATTAATACAGATGTTTTATTTTCGCTAAGTTATTTCTACAGTGTGATTGAATAAACGCGGAATCCGTACCTCAGTCCTCGGCCATATCATTGTCAAAGGCCTACCGACTTGGCTAGGATATAAAGGGACATACTCACGAGATATCTGATCTTATTCGGTCTCGAACCAGCGTCAATGAGCAATGTGTCAATAGATTTTACACTCTTATTGTCATGAAACAAAACAGCGCACGAGAGTATTTCCAGACTACCACCCGTCCATCCACTTTCATCATCTAACGTCGCTTACCGGTGTTCCCACGTAGCTGGGCCGTTGCCTCTCTTGCATGGAAACTATGATACTTGCTTTATACCGGGTGTTGCATCGTCGGACGGGACATAGAAAATCCCATGTAAATTTTAATGGGGTCAATTATTGGCTTCCCTAATTATTTTAGAGAATAATTCTATTTAGGTTTATTGAAGAGCACTAAAACCCACATTCAAAAGAATAACTTTAGATATTTTTGATTAGCTCGTTTACGAGTTATCGCCGATTTCTTTTTAAATATCTATCCTTTACTTATGAGCACCAGTCAAGGTAAAAGATAACTGTCAAATGAAGTTGTCATTTCAGAAAGTTACCTATTTAGTGCTTTATTATTATTGAAAACTCATTCCGACATCGGAAATCTTAAAGATGTATTTATAAATACAAATTAATATGAATTAAAGTAAAATAAAGTAATCAATTACAAGGTTAATTATAGTATTATTACAATATTCAATAACTTATTAATTTAGCTACTATTAAATTGTTAGAACTTTAGAATTTAAGAAGATGTTCAAATATTCCTCCATCGACTGCTAGACAATAACCCAGGTGATCATAAAATTCTCTTCTGACATTCGCTAGTTGGTAAACTGAAATTGTATTGCATTCGGCAGAAATAGCATTTTTTAATTCGTCTAGATTTGGGTATTTTTTATCCTTGTATATCCTGTTTTTTAAATGGCCCCAGAGAAAGAAATCATTTGGCGAAATATCAGGAGACTTTGCAGGCCAATTTACTGTATGATTTAGGCCGAATATTCCCGAACGGCCAGGGTACTATGTGCCGGGCAGCCATCCATTTGGTACCAAACTTCCTGATTTTCCCTAGCGGCATCATGTAAAGCAGGTAAAATATGATTTTCGAGTAGTTCCAAATAATATTCTGCATTTAAATTTCGCGTAAGAAATAATGGCCCGATAATATTGTGTCCGAATATCCCTGCCCAAACATTTACTTTCTGTGGATATTGCGTCCTTGTTTCGACAAACCTGTGTTGGTTTTCTTTGTTCCAATATCGATAATTTTGAACATTGGGTTCATTATTTAAGGTAAACGTGCATTCGTCAGTGAAACATATGTTTTTTAAAAATTCCCTATCCGTGTTTGCTCTTTCCATCATATCAAAACAAAACGCCTGCCGCCGTATTTCGTCCCCATCTCGTAGCTCTTGGTGCTTTTCATATTTAAAGGAATACCTAGTATTTATGTCGTTTCAAAATTCGAAACACTGTAGTGTGATCTATTTCATCCTCAAGTTTCCTTGTGCTGATCTTTCCATCGTTCTCTTCCACGCACAATAAAACTTCCAAGTCGGTATCATTTCTTGCATCTTCTCTTTGTTCCTGCCTTGCTTCACATCTGCAGTTATTTATTAGGGTACCTTTGGTCTCAAATCTCTGGATATGCCTTGCGATTGTAGATTTTCCAGGTATCGGTCTATTCGGATACAGAGCAGCAAACATGTCCGACACCTTTTGATAACTATTTCCTTGATAATACCATTTAATCATCAATACTTTTTCTTCGGTAGTGTAATTTATGGCTAATATTTTCGATGTAGGTATGAGTTTTTAATAATAATAATAAAGCACTAAATAGATAAATTTCTGAAATGACAACTTCATTTGACAGTTATCTTTTACATGTCTTTTACCTTGACTGGTGCTCATAAGTAAATACAGGGCCATAAGAAAGGAGAAATATTTAAAAAGAAATCGGCGATAATTCGTAAACAGGCTAATCAAAAATATCTAAAATTATTCTTTTGAATGTGGGTTTTAGTGCTCTTCAATAAACTTAAATAGAATTATTCTCTAAAATAATAAGGGAAGCCAATAATTGACCCCATTAAAATTTACATGGGATTTCCTATGTCCCGCTCGACGATGCAACACCCGGTATAATAAAAATGGTAGATAAGTTTTGTTCTTGTAGAGGTTGAGGCCACCCTTTTTCCTGACTCACGTGCCGCCACTGGAGGTATATAAGTTTGAGAACATATTTGTTTTACACGCAATAAACTTTTTTTTACGTGTAAAAGCTATTTGTTACACGTAAGAAACTATTTGTTACTCGCAAAAAACTATTTTTTACTCAAAAAACTATTTATTATGCGTAAAAAACTACTTGTTACATGCAAGAAATTATTTTTTACATCTGCCAAATAATTTTTTACGTCTAACAAATAGTTTTTTACACGTAAAGATAGTTTCTAGTAACAAATAGTTTTTTACGCGTAGAAAATAGCTTGTCACGCGTAAAAAAATAGTTTTCAGGTGTAAAAAATAACTTTTTACTTGTAACAAATAGCTTTTACACGTAAAAAATACCTTTTGCGGGTAACAAATAGTTTTTACGCGAAAAACCACTTTTTCCTGACTCACGTGCCGCCACTGGAGGTATACAGGGCGTTTAAAAAAACATGTGCCATCTCTCGTGGGAAGATTCCTCACCGTAAAAAGTAAGATTTATTTTTCATATCAACATAGGTCCGATTCTGCTTTGTTTCGTAGCTACAGGGTCTTGAAGTCTTAATAATCTTTCGATTTATTTTCGAATCTGACTTAGTTGATATGAAAAATAAATCTTATTTTTACGTGAGGAATCTCCCAACGAGAGATGGAACATGTTTTTTTGAATCACCCTGTATAAATTTGAGAAACTTCTGGCAAATAAAATATTAGTAGAATAAAAAACAATCTGTGTCAGTTCATGAATGTTTTATTTAATACAAAGGACAATATACATAGTAACAATAATAATTAAGATCAACAAATTATAGTTAATAGTTAATAATACATTTTTTAAGAGTCATTTTCTCTTATATTACAATTCAGTTGGAATGTTTTGAAGTTGTTACACATTGCAATTGATAAAGATAACAATTAATAATAATTTTTATTATAAATAAATCACTTATACAGGTTCGTTTTAATGATAATTCTTGATCCAATTAATATATTGTAATAAATAAATGTTAATAATACAATGATAATAGTAATAAAAGACAGATATATTTATTCATCACATTAGAGGCACTACCTTTTTTTAGATCACATGATATGCTTGCTCAATAATTAATTAATATTTAGGTATATTTACATCAAATATAAATATATACATCGTTAGAGAAAATCAGAGTTTTAGAGTGTAGCTCACTATAATAAATAACAAGTTTGTATTTCGACATTTTTTAGGTACCGAGTGTCCCGAGTGTGTTTTTTACTGAATTGGTTAACAATAATCGTAATTTTTTTTAGAAAATTCTAAAGTAAAGGTGCGTTCACACCAGCCGCGCCGCGCCGCGCGAAACATTTTCTTAACATGTACCTTTGAAGTGTATTTTTTTTTAGAAACACAAACAACAAAAGAAAAAGTTAAGGTCGTGTGAACGCACCTTAACTTTTTTCCTCTTTATTAGTGAGCTAAACTATATATGTAGGTAGAGTATGATCAACAATAAATCAATTTAAGCAGGTTATAGCAACTATTCTTTCTATGTTTGGACATAAAAGTTTTAGATAATTGTATGGCCTATTAAAAAGTAAATAAATTGATCAATATCCAATGTATGATATTTTGACTTGCTTCATTATATTTATTTATGATCATATATGAAAACTAAGATTACACTAACATTGTAGTTGTTATTCTATTAAAAGCTAGGAAATTTTACAAAACGCTTTTCTTTTACAAAATTCTCTAATTCATTTATAAATACTTTCAAAGTAGGTATATTTACATACAATGTGTAAAGGTACAACACGATCGAAAAAAAAAACAGCGTCAAAGACGGCTGGGGAATGACAATCGAAGATAATTTTGGCGAGGTCAAGTCCTAGACGACATTTCCTTGGTCTGTAGTCTTCTTTATTTTTCAATGGCGCTTACTACCAGTTGCGTAAGAAAGTTGTAATTTATTTTTATCCGACGCGACGTCGCCAAAATGATCATCGATTGTCATTCCCGATCCGCCTTCGACGCCGTTTTTTTTTCGACCAAGCATTAACATTGACATTGCGAAAATAGTCGTAGAGAACAGTTTAACATGTTCGAAGAATTTTTCTTCTTTTTTTTAGTTACTAGATACTTATTTTAAACGCACATTTTCAAAAATATATAAAATTTTAAGATACAAATTTTAAAACTACTGTTGATATTTTAGTTATTTTGATAGCTGAAATCTTGAAATAGCTATTATATAATATTTTTTCCATAGCAACTCTTAAAATTGTCTTATATCTATCAAAAATAGTAGATAAAATAGTACGGTAGATTAAATGATACTTTAACAGCGAGGATAGGTTAAAAACTTTATTTCTTCTCGCACGTTTTTTAA